AAACAGGTCCACGATGTAGGAAGTGGCTTAGGAAGTAGTAAAGTATGAACATATGAGTATGAAGTGTGAGCATAGTGTGAGAACCGTCTGTAGCAGTTATATTAATGTATCTTCAATCCTAAAATATTATGAGAAGGGAAGGAAACAGGCCCCATTACGTAGGAAGTGGTGAAGGCAGTAGTAAAGTCTGGCAGTGCAGAGTGGGGGAACCGTTTGGGCAGTTAGATAAATGTATCTAATACTTAAATGCTATGAGAAGGGAAGGACACAGGTCGATAACATAGGAAATGGTGAAGGAAGTAGTAAGACTTGCAGTGCAGAGTGTGGGAACTGTCTTTTACATTAAATTAATGTATCTGCAATCCTAAAATGCTATGGGAAGAGAAGGAAACAGGTCCACGACGTAGGGGAGTGAAAATTTAAAAACGTACGTTTTCAGGAAAAGCACTTTGGAAATTTTTTCCCCCTTTTTTCAAAACTTTTATTATTTTTTTTATTTCATTAACATTTGAAGTTTCATAAAATGTCCATGGTAACGCAATATCTTTGGTAGTTTTCTTTTTAAAGAGCATCTTTAGTAGAAAAACACAAAATCCTGTCACGACCATAACGGACGTTTAAATGAATATTAAAAATAGTTAATATTATTTTTATAACTATGTTTTGCTATAAACTAATTTACTTTCATGACCATTATACAATAAAAAGGTCACTGAGCTTTTGGTATATTTGGTCTTTCTAGAAAAAAATGAAAAAAACTCAAAAAATAGAAAAAAGCCAATAAAATATTTTTAAGTTTGTATTACTCCGAAAAAACTTACCTGAGACCCGAAAAATCGTTATGTTTGTATAGAGGTGTGCTTCTTTTGTGTATAAAACATTTAAATATGACGATATTTTAATTTTTGAAATTTTTATGATAGAAATCATAAACGTGATGGTCAGGGACAAGCGGTACGGTCGTGAATTGTCTGGAATAATCTAAAATCTTTCCAAACAATCCTTCAATTATACTGTTAGTTATAATAAAACTACGTGTTTCAATTGAACTAAACTGTCCAATTTACAATTATACTAAAGTTATTGTCACGACCAAACACACTATAATCCATAAGGCTGGATTGGTCGTGAAAAAAACCGCGATGGTCGTGAAACTTTGGTCGTGAAATTACGTGTTATTTGGCTCTGTTCTGGCGGTAGCCCTGCACCTCATGTTCGAGGATACAAAGTGGACTTCTAGGTTAATCTAGCAATTGAAATATCTTATAAACCAAAATTAATACCATGTCTACTTCATCGAATGGCTACGTACGGTCATGGACACACCAAAATTACAAAAAACACAATCTTTCCTTTATTAATCTTGTAATTCCTCCTTTCAACTCAAAACGACCGGCACAACAATCCTGACGTACACCCCGAACTAGTCTCTAAAACCAACTGACTCCATCGTCGCCAGGCTTGCCACTGTCGTGCTCCAAAGTTGAAAATTTTTCCCAAATGGTCGTGACGCCAAATCGAGGGACAGACTTATTTTGTCATGGTAGTCAGTCTGCAATGACAATAAAATTATAATATGCTCCTTTTTTGTAAGTTTAATAACCATTGATGACATAAAAATGTGGCTTTATATATTTCGGCATGAATAATTAGTCTAAAAACAGCGTGAAAGTTGGAAAATGTACCCTAGGGACACGTCATGGTCGTGAATTTCGAGACTTTAAAAATACGAAAAAAATACCTAGAACCTATTTAAAACCAAATAAATGTGTGTAACATGTTGCCCCCGTCCCAAAAAATATTAAAACACATAATAATAAACTACAAATCCAGTATCTACGAAGTAAAAGGCCAGGGACATGAAAACGTACGTTTTTAAATTTTCACTCAGGGGGTGGTGAAGGAAGTAGTAAAGGTGAGCAGTGTTGAGTGTGGGAATGGATTAATGTATCTGCAATGCTAAAATGATAGGGTAAGGGACTGTAGACTGTAGGTTAAAATGATTACTAAGCACGAATCGATACATATTTCGATAAATGCAACCGTTTACAATAGAAATATATAACTGAGTTGACAACTATTTTTACTCCCTAAAGAGTAAAAATGCTACTTTAGACCCGCAACGCATGCATTAAAAACGACTGTTTTTACTGCAGTATGACAAAAACAATATAATAAGAACCCTTGATGACTCCGCTCAATTTTGTGGATGCCTCTGCGAACGCCACCTAGTATATAGATTTTATAATTTATATATCTATTTTATATATAGATTAGATTGCTTGTCTACATTAAAAAGTTGGTTAGGTAAATTAACGATGAGTGGATGTCTACCGAAAACGAATTGATTTTACAACTTAATTATTCGTAGTAAAACTGAAAATATTTGTAGGCTTATAAGCTCTATTTTTTACCTGATGAATAAATAAAACACCTCGAGCAATGCTCGCTCCCCTAGTACTTGTGTTCTAATCAAACATTGTCACATTTTACATTACTACAACAGAGACAAATGATTTAAAACCTGTCACTGTCAGATAATGAACATCAACTGAAGACAATATGTTTTGACACTTTAGATTGTATATCAATCACCAAACAAACATTCTTCCTTCCCGCCCCCAAGTGCTTCGGGTGTTGTTATTGGCCGTCACTGCCCTTCTACCCTACGGGCCACTGCATTCCAAAGCAACTGGACTTTGACTTTCTCTTCCCCATTCTCACGTTGTTTTTGTCTACAAGGGCGCTGACCTCTCACAGCCGCACGCAACCCTCACTGATCACGTAAAATAAATAACCCGTATTTATAAGACGCTTCCGTATATTTGGAAAAGTTATTCAAAAATTCTAACTGGTTAGAAGTTATTAGTTTGTCCCGTAAAAAGTAACTGATAGAAGTTATAAGTTAATTAGTTTAAAACTAACGAATAAAATATAAGTTAGCCTAAAACCTAACGAATATTGTTATTCGTTAGAATTTCTATTCGTCATTCCCAAGTATGCACAGCAGATAGGTGACACCAGCTCATTAATTCTCACTTTATTTATTTAAATTTAAATTTGTAAACATATATTTATTAAAATATTAAAAATAAAACTTTTAGAATTGAAAACCAAAACAATATGATTTGACAATCTATATCTGTACATTTAAGGCGGGGTCAATATTTTCACAGTCCAGTAACCAAGCTTTCGTAAATACACAAAGACCATTCATTAGCTGCTTCCAAACCAAACAGCAGCTGTTACAACTCTACTTGCGATGTTGCCACTTCGAAGGCCGTGGCCTGGAGTTAAAGTCTATATCTGTACATTTAAAGTGGAGTCAATATTTTATAGCTCAGTAACCAAGCTTTCATATTCTTAAAAACATACACAAATACCATTAGCTGCCTCCAAAACAACACAGCTGTTACGACCACGGCCGCCTTTCACTCCAGGCCGCGGCTTTCGAAGTGGCAACATCGCAAGTAGAGTTGTAACAGCTATTTTGTTTGGAGGCAGCTATAATGGTATTTGTGTACGTTTTTAAGAATATGAAAGCTTGGTTACTGGGTTATGAAAATATTGACTCCACTTTAAATGTATAAAAATAGATTTTCAATTTAAATACTGTTTTGGTTTTCAATTATAAATGTTTTCTTTTATTAAATTTATGTTCATAATTTAAATTTAAATATGTAATACGCAAATTAATGAGTTGGTGTCACCTGTCTGCCATGTAATCTTATGGGACGTCTGGCGCTAGACAACACTACTTGCAACGTTGCCAATTCTACCAGGCCACGGCCTAGAGTTAAGGGTATCCGTGGCTGGCACCCCTCAGGTTACCTAACCCAGAATGGGGGAGGGGACCTTGGATGATGAATCTCAAAAATGGACAAAGTGATGTGACGATTAATAATTGTTAATTTCATTGGCTGCACTTTACTTGACGTCCTACACTCATTCGAATGAAAATATCGATCGATATATCGATTAATCTATTGCTTCATTCGATATATCGTTTGGTTAGTTAGGTAAGGTTAACCTAACCTAACTAACCAAAACGATATGTCGAAAGAAACAATCGAATGAGTGTAGGACGTCAAGTAAAGTGCAGCCATTTCATTGAAAAGTTGGACATTTTTGGAGCTGAGAGCTGCTGCAATGTTAGTTCTATATTCTTTAAGAGTTTCCTTTGGGCATGATTTCCTGAAGAGTTCGTAGCATGGCCATATCCATAATAAATGCTGCAGAGTCTCTTGCTTTTTTATGCTAGCATAAACCTAGTCTTATATAGTATGTCGTTGATGCATAACCTAGTCTAATATAGTATGTTTTATCTATGTCTCAAAGCTCCTATATGGATTTATCTACTAGGGGAGTATGTTTTAAGTCATAACTATCTTGAAACCCCTCTTGCTCTTTATAATGCTAAGCCGAATACCTCCCTCGCCCTCCTTTTCAGCGCTGCGTAATATGTTACGGCCGTGGCCTGGTAGAATTGGCAACGTCACAAGTAGTGTTATTTAGCACCAGACGTCCCATAAGATAACATAGCAGACATGTGACACCAGCTCAATTTTTTTTTAAAATGTATAAATATAAATTTATTAAAAGATTGAAAATAAAACATATAGAATTGAAAACCAAAAAATATAAATTGAAAATCTATTGCTGTACATACATCTAAAATGGAGTCAATATTTTCATAGCCCAGTAACCAAGCTTTCGTATTATTAAAAAAATACACAAATACCATAAGCTGCCTCCAAACAAAACAGCTGTAACAACACTACTTGTGACGTTGCCACTTTTAAGGCAACTGCCTAGTGCCTAGAGCTAAAGGTGGCGATGCAAGCAATCTCCCTATCTAAATTCAATGGTAACACTATTTTCTCATTGTCAGTTTTGGCATTATACTGCCTGATTTTTCTGCATCGTGGCAAACAACTGCGCCGGCTACAGCTGTATGGTAGTACACTCAAGTGATAAAAAAAATAGATAAATAAAGATGACAGCGTGGACTAGTTCGCCGATATTACACTTGTCAATCTAACCTTTTATTTTATAAATTCTTTACAATTAATTAAATGTGCTATCGTTAAGTGTTTGAAAATGGCATAATTCGATTATTATCTTCAGTACAGTACAAGTACGAGTTTTTGTCAAGTAAGTCAAACAAAGTGTTTCTTGAGATTTACAATAGGTCTAGTTTACATTAAATTATGGGAAGGCTGTTATATTTATATGCTTAAAACATGGACGATATCTCACCAAGCTGTATTGAATAGGCCTAGGCTAATGCAATAAAATAAGTCCCAGGTTACGAATGTATTTTTACCTTACTTTGATCGATTTCTTTTAGGACATATCAAATCTAGGCCTACCAGATGCAGTCATGACAATAGATTAGGTTCCTGCTTATTTTAAAAGTTCCAATTTTAGGCCTAAATTTGATTTTCTCTTCTCCACGATAGCTGCCTGAGTGAAGCCAGAATCCTAAACCAATCATAATAGGTCTATTCCATAGCTTTTTGATGGTTCGAAACTGTACCCAGCTGTCCTAGGTCATTTACCGGGTACAGTTCCGCACGTCCGCAGACAACCTGCGAGATATATTATTGGATGAACAACGATATAGGCTACCTATATCAACATGTATCTGATTTGGTATTAATATTCTAAAGTTCGACTATTTTTGGGTACACTTCCGTATCTGTTGGCACAAACAACCGAATGAGTAATATTGATTATTCGATTGTTTAGTTCGATATATCAATCAATATTTTCATTCAGTTGTTTGTGCCAACAGATATGGAAGTGTACCCCTATTTTTAACCATAAGTTATGATAAATAAAAACAATAGGCTAACAAACACGTATCAAAAAAGCTTTTTGTGTATATTTTATCCTTAACCTTAGATAAAATTAATTACGGTATATCCTAGGTAGGCCTACGCCTAATTACAACAAAAATGAGGAAACAATTAATTTTATAATCCTATGCAGGTATTAACAGTTCCAGTAACTTAATGTTGATCGCGTTGAATTTAAAAAAAAACAATGTTTGATCCTGTGAAAAGCAAAATGATAACTAGGCTTGAGTTTGTTAGTGGTATAAGTAACATAGGCTACTTAGGCCTAACTTAGTTGTTTGTTTTTTTTTTTCATTAATGTAAATATTATTAGTTTTTTGTAATATATTACCGGTAAGTTATTTACTGGTATTCTTATTATCGGTATTATTATTAAAACTATTATTAAAACAAATAACGGGTTCATATCCTGTTGTCAAAAACATAGTAAGGTACAATTCGATGTGTACATTGCCTAACTTAGTGGGAAAAAACATAGGAATGATGTATTGAATCGGATAATTAATTATCAATATATAGGTACCGGTAAACGTTATTCATCCGATAATCTATCACAGGTGCTCTGCAGAACTGTACTCCATTTACCTCAGGCCTAACTTAGGGTATAATAATTTTTTGGGGATAAGATCAGTTGATTATTATCACAGAATTATTAAGTTACCTACCAATTGTGATTGTGACACGACCTAGGTTCATATTTTACCCCAAATAGGCTATGAGTGTAGAATGAAGTGTGATGATCCATGTAGCTTTGTCACTGACTAAGATCTAGAGATGGGAAGTTCGGAACACCTTAGTAATCTGGTTTTGTGATACTCATCTACTGTCTCAACCCGTTCTAAATGGCCCTTAAAATGACCCGGTAAGCCAGTTGTGTCTGTAGGCCTATCACTTGTATCAATCATTTCGTTCATTGGTCGACCTGGTTAGTTTCGGATCACAGAACTTTGGATTGTTCAGACAGGATTTTGATAATCAGTTGAGATATTAAATTATAAATATTCAAATAATAAAATTATATTTAAAATACCGGTATAAAACCAACATGTTTAGTGATTCTTATTTTGGCACAAAACTAAAAGACAAATTATTTTTTAGCCTACTTGGAATTCTCTAATTCAATTTGTAAATAGCCTTACTTTTACAAACCTTGAGATATGACTCTACCGGTTGAATTTATTGTCAGTATGAATTTACGTTTAGGCTATGCTTGATCCCATTCTCTAACGTTTTGGAGTGGACAGAGTTTTAAACTTAATCACAACACGAATACTTATTTATGCTCAACTATTGGTTCAGTTAGTTCTTCACTCATAGTCTTATAGGCCTACAGTCAGTCAAAGGTTCCAATCACCACTCACCACACCAGTCATCTCCGTCTTTTCAATCGGTCTTTGAACGAATAAAAAGTTAAAGAAATGTAGCACCACCAAACGGGTCTTTTTGGTCGGTGTGATCCGGATCACTCGTTAACTTAGGTGACCCATTCGAATTGAACGGGTCTTGACCGAGCGACTCACCTCTACTAAGATTAGCTGATTCTTAAGCCAGGATCATTTATTTAAAGCCCAATGATCAGGAACGACTAGGTCCAGTTTCGAACCTTCTAAAAGCTACTGACTTTTCTCAGGATCAAACCCGCAACTTTTTTATTGTTAGGGAAGAACTAAGTTATAACCACTCAGCTACTCAGCCATAACATTGATAACTTAATAATACTGTCTTAGGCTATCATTAATTTAAAACTAAACTTCATTCATTTTTGCCTTAAAATGCACACTTTTATGTGTAGCGGTAGGCCTAGTGTTACGTGAATATTACCTAATACCTACTGAAAATATTTTGCTTTTGTCTTGGACACCTAGGCATAATGTAGGTCTACGCTAAAGTTTTTACTAATTTCTTTTGAATTTATTATAATGGCGTAGGTTGTCTATTCATAAGGTAATTTGAACAATATACATAAGTTTGGTAATCTGGATGGGGTACGATCCCAATTGATCAGTATTATCGACATTATACTGCTAGTTTGTTTAAGATGACAGCATTGTCACTACTTGATCTTCTATTATTCCACTATTACCTTCTAAAGTTGTGTAATTTTTTGACGCTAGAAGCTTAGGCCTACCTACATTACTTTTAGTACACTACTTAATTATTGCTGTACACTAAAAATACCCTTTCAAATGTCAGTTCGGCTTAAAAAAAGACTGGTTTTTCTCATTGTATCCTAATGGAGGAGTTAGTTTGATTTCTTTAAATTTAGGCACATTTACCTCGGAGGTATATAATTAGTGTAACATGTTACACATTTACATATAACTTAAAAGTTGTCTTACACATTACACACAAAAGATTTACTATGGACAAACTATCTCTTTGCAAACCATAGTTGTTTGACTAGGCCTAAAGATTAACTTTCATAACTTTACCGATTTCAGAAGCGTGAAAAATATTAATTGTCTCTTTGATTTTGTGCTTTCAGCTGATTGCCGAAAGTAAGAAATTGACTGATAGTCTTATTGACTAATTGAATTTTTTCATTTTTCAGGTGGACTGATTTAATTCTTATAGACATGCTGCCTCTTACCCACAAGGATTCGTCTCGGTCCTTCACCCACAAGATCAAAGAAAAGCTCCACGGATGGATGAGGTTGATTTTTTCTGATCGAAATTCGAGGAACTTATTTTTGTTTCTGATTTTAAATTTGTCATTTGCGTTTGTAGAACTTGTATATGGTGTTTGGTCAAATAGTTTGGGTCTAATTTCAGATTCATTTCATATGTTTTTTGATTGTACTGGATTATTAGCCGGGCTAGCAGCATCTGTTATAACAAAATGGAAAGCAAATGACAAGTATTCATACGGTTATGTGAGAGCAGAAGTTCTTGCTGGATTTGTGAACGGATTATTCCTGCTTTTCATTGCGTTTTTCATAATGTCTGAAGCTGTAGAACGTGCTATCGAACCACCCGAAGTGAAACATGAGAGACTGTTTGTGGTATCAGTTTTAGGACTATTGGTGAATCTCGTGGGGATATATGCATTTCAACACGGTCATGGGCATTCTCACGGAGGCGGGTCTCATGGTCACGGTCATTCTCACGGAGCGACCACTAACCACGGACACTCCCATGGAGGCCACCACAGCTTACTCATGGGCAACTCCCACGCACATGAACACTCTCATGAGCTCTCCAGTGGCAACTCACAGATCATGAAGGGTGTCTTTCTGCACATCCTTGCCGATACCCTCGGTAGCGTTGGTGTTATCATATCAGCTGTCCTCATGCAAATGTTCGGATGGATGATTGCTGACCCCATCTGCTCCATGTTCATCGCTATCCTTATTGCTCTTAGTGTATTGGCGCTCATCAAAGAATCCGTTCAGATTTTGATGCAAAGGCAACCACCAACATTGGATCACGTTTTACCCCAGTGCTATCAAAAGGTAATGCAGCTGGCGGGAGTTTATAGCATCCAAGAACAACATTTTTGGACACTTTGTAGTGATGTTTATGTTGGTGCTCTTAAACTCGAAGTTTCCAAAGCAGCAGATGCCAAGTATGTGGTGAGTCATACTCACATGATATTTGCTGCAGCTGGGGTAAGACAACTATATGTGCAGCTAGATTACTCTCCAATGTGATTTTTGTAGTTATCAAAGATTGTAGATGAAGTTTATTTAACATGAAGCTAGTAGGAAATTTATTAGAACTTATATATTTATTTTGTCTTTCGTCTTAAAATGTATTTAAAAATTGCAAATATATTTGTGGTTAGGCCTTTATTAATTTCTTCAACTACTGTGATTGCATCACATTTTACTTATTTTCATTGAAATTTATCAGTTTGATTTTTTGAATGTATTTTTAATAGCTTTATTGGTTGTAGTGATTTAACTACTACTGAGTTATCCTTAGTCTAACCGTTGACTATAGATGTTGATCGTGTATTTTTGTGTAAAACTATAACAAAATTATTTAGTTTAATTTAGCTATATTATATGCTACTATCTTTATCGTAAATTTGATGTAAACAGTGCAAAAAAGTGTGATGATCGACTATCACTTACAAAAGGTTGGTGATTTTGTAGAGTTTATGAGATCATGACTCTCTGACTTGTCTTGTCATAAACTAAAATAATTTAAGCAGTCTGTGTTTATAGGATGACTTCAGTACAATAGGCCATGGATTAACCCTTTGTTTATCCTCAGTTTTGCCAAAGAATAATACACAGCTATGTTTTCCTATATTTGGATTCACCTTCTAAGTTAGTATAGATAAATCATACTCCCCCAAAGACCTTCCTTTTGAAAGCTGAAGAAATTTTAACACCAGCTCCGTCCAGAGGTCTTCACTAATTGTTTCTTGTTAGTAAGATTTTCTTAGAAATATTGCAATGAAATAAAACTAACTTATTTAGTTACAAACAATAGCTTTCCCTCAGGTATAACAAACAAACAGTGAAGCACCTATCGTTGAATTCACCATATAAAAATAAACCCTACATAAGTCAACATCAGCACACTCTTAACAACCATTAAACATATAAAAATAGGAAAAAGTCGCTAACAGGCTTCAGATTACTACACTAAGATGGGAATCCTAATTTTACTAATCAAAGTCACTGGTATTTGCACGTGCTTATAAACCGTACTTATAATTATAACTATACCCAATAGTTATACACTGTGAATCCTGCATGCTCTGGTGTTTAATGTGTAAACTGTTCTCTCTGTATCTTTAAAACTTACCTGTGATTTTTACTCTGATTTGTTTGATCTTTTGTAAAGAGTATTAGATAAAGAAATTATAGATACTGGAGACTAATAATACTTAGTTATAGCTAATAGTTGCATAAATTTTGTCTGTCATAACATTTGTGTATAGACATTTAACAAAATTAGGTAACACTTATATAAATTTAGTTGTGAATCTTAAAAATTGTATAAAATGTATACAAATATTTTTTTAACGAGCAAAAAACGTTTGGTTATTTGAAATATGTAATTTTTCTGAAGGATTCCAAAAATACTCCTTTTTGAGATCATGCAATTTTTACATTATCCAACCACTGAACATAAAATTATAGGCCTATGTAACGAAGAAAAATATTTTTATCACTAACAACTACTTGAAATTAGTGAATAAACGACATTGAAAAAAAAACAAGATTTATATAGACTAGCTGTTACCCACGGGCTTCACCCCGTTTGACTTCATAAGTATTAATAAAACTACTTTTTAAGCTGAAATAAACAAAACAGAATACAGTAATACTACAAATAATCACACCAGATTTTATTAAGGTAATAAATTGAAAGAGTAACATACAAATAAGTACAGCTGAGGTATTTTTAACATTATGTATATGGAAAGTTCCCTTTGGAAAGCAATTATGACACTAAAGGGCAATTTATGAAATAATGGATAGTTTTGCACAAGGTTTCTCATCATTACGACCATTTTAAGTACAGCGTATGGGGGGGGTGTGACTTGTAGTTTTCTCAAAAGTTCATGGGTACTTTGGGCTTTATATATGGATTTTAGACACCTGAGACAGATATCAGGCAGCTTAAAATTAACCTCTATAGCTAAAGTAATTGCATATACAGTAAAAACCCACTAATCTGACATCCAATAATCTAGCACTCTCAGATCTGGCATCGGTCTTGAGGTCAATGAAAAAAATGTTATATGCTTTTTAGCGAATTTCCCACATAGGGAATAAGCTATTACCGTAGTACTCATAATAAGACCTGGACGCTGGACCGATTTTTTTTTCGTTTTGAGGTCCCTAGAGGCCAAAAACACCATCCGTTCAAATGCATATATATATATGCCCGTCAGCACGATAACTCGAGCAAAAATGATCCTATTTTGATGAAATTTGGTACAAACGTGTAAACCTACGTTTATTCGAACGAGTTCGCGATCCAGCATGATCGGACCATGGGATCGGGGGTTTACGGGGAGTTTTATGGGGTAAAAATAGGTTTTCCCATTTTTGACCCAAAAAACATAAAATTTAGCAATTTCTTTCCAAACCATTTTGTAGAGCTTAAAAAACAAATAATTTAGTATATTGAAGCGTTATCATGCGCCTAATGGTTACGGAGAAAATTCCAAAAAATTTTAAATTTAAAATTCCCATGTTATTCTTATGGAGAATAAGTAAACTGTTGTAGTTTGCTTGTTTATGAACATATTTTAATCAAATTTGGAAAATGTTTTTTTCTTACTAACTATTAACATTTTACAAAAAAAAAACAGTTTTACCCTCCCTGATGCAGCAAACCTAAGTACTTGTTAAACTAATTCTATTTAAATCGGGAATAAATGTTATATTTGCAAGTAGACATTTCAGTGTAAATAAAATCAGTCAAATGGAAATTCGCTTAGTCTGCAGGTTTGCTGCGGCGGGGGTATTTAAGCTATATTGGTGCTTTTGGCAGAGTGATCGATATACGTTGGTAGCGATAAGCAGTTGTCAGGTGCAATCTGTAGACATCAGGAGTGAATTTCAGTCGATTATGGCCAAATGACTGATGTCGACGTCCCTAATGGCAGAGTGCAGAAATGGGTTATAGAGTGGAAAAATTCAGTGAAATCCTTTTTTCTCAGTGGTCTACCACTAATGTATGTTATTACACAGTTAATAAGGCTACCATTGTTTCAAACAAGAAGTCAACCAAAATCATCATATTGCTGAAATATAATACATGCAACAAGTATTTCACAGTAAGATTGCATCATTTTAGCAATGCCTTAAACGATCGCATCCACAATTAGAATCAGAAGTAATTATAATAAAACAATCACCTTTCTAGGAAAGTAAGAATTAGTATGAAATTAGTGCAGAAGACTACCTAATAACACTATTTGTGTCTAACTAAAAGAGTACCCATCCTGCGTACGGGGTTGGTGTAAAGTATAAAATGCTTATTGCAGTTATACTCGTCCTTTGTGTTTGCAATGGGGGAGGACACGGTTTGAGAAAATTTTGTTCTTTTAATTTACGGTATGCTATTGTATAAGTTAACATATATGTATGTACAAAGATTTATAAAACTGAATTTTTTAAGAGTAGATTCACGCACAGCAAGACAATGCAACACAGAACACAGTGTCAACTGTTCAACTGAACCATTGAGTGTCGAGTGAGTAGGCTTGCTCTGAAGTCTGAACTACAGTAAAACCTCATTAACCACAATACTGACTGACTCACCCAGTGACCACAGAATAAAAAATATAGATTTAATTCTGAGGCTGCTGGTCACTTGACAAATTGACGTGCAAATTGAGGTGGTAGGGGTAGTTACTGAGCCGAGGAGCTCGTTTTCAACTAGAAACCACTCAACTTGATCTCAACTGACCTCTTTGTACCGACTCGACTCGCCTGCATGTCTACAACAAGCGAGTTAGAGAGCAAATGGCAACTTGCACACTGACTCGACCCGTGTAAACAAAGCTTTTAACTTTTTAATGCTATTGAATATCATAGAACCAACTTGTGTAGTTGAAACAGCTGGCAAAATTCTTTAATACTTTTTAACTATGAATATCCTATCCATAATCCATAATATCCTTAAGGTTAACATGGGAATCTCCAGAGCCACTGGGGCTAGTCCGAAAGCATCTTCGAGATAAGAGTATGTATACTGTATGTGTTAATCGGGAACGTAAGCTATCATCATACCAAATTTCAGCTCAATCCGACTAGTATTAAATGTGTGATTGAACTTCAAACAAACACACAAACTTTCACATAAATAATATTTGGAAGATTACTTCAAACCATATACATACACCCTTTTTAGAGGAGTGAAAAATTACAAAGTTATGGCCAAGTGTTTATTCTATACTTTTTCAAATCAACAGTTGATTGTTTATGGTTGGTTTAATGTTTCTCTGCCCCTCCAATATTCTTTTATTTGCTTGCATGTAATTTTTGCAGATAATTTTTGTAAAGGTTAAATAAGTGGTTGTAATTATAGGAGATAGCTTTTCTAGCTAAGTTTTTATGTTTATAATTTAACAAAACATTGCATTCCAAACTTTTTTAAAGTTGTTGAACACTATGTTAATGTACAAAAAAAAATTATTACTATCCCCAAATTCTGTCATGGGTCTTAGGTATATTTTTCTGTTTTAGATTCTATTTCAAATAATTTTACAATAAATTGTGTTGCAATTGAAAAAATAAAAAATTTTATGTGTTAAATCTTTTTTGAAACAAAGGTACAGTGCACTAAAAATCATCATTTTCCTACAGTTACCTAACAATGTACATGTTCTCTCACTGATTTGAGAAAGCAAAGTGGCCAATTCACTCATCAGTGAGACAATGTTAACACTCTAAATTACTCTAATTACTTTGTCTCTCTCCAGATTTGCAACGTGAAGCCACGAAATAGTGAGCTCGTAACATGCAGGCAACGTCGTATGCGCGCGAAATACGTTGGCAGCACTGGCTGTAAATCAGCTGGTCAGCTGTTGTACTGTTGTATTTGCCACTTCACATTAAATGTTATATTAAAAGTTCACTTCTGTGTAAAAATGGGTTATGTTTTTTCACAAATTTATTTGTTTTATAGTAACTGTAGGAAAAGTATAATGTGCAACTCGAGTTCAAAGTACAATTGCCTCACTCGAGAAACCATTCCTCACTTGCCTACGGCTCGTGAGTAAGGATTTCTCTCGAGTGAGTCAATTGCTCACTTTTCTCACTAGTTGCACAAATAACTATTGTTTTACCTAGTTCATTATATTTTATTAATTTTTAGCAATTGTAAAAATATTTCTCTATGTACTTTTTTATTGTTGACCATTGTAAATTTGTCTGGTACTCATATCATTCTGTAATAAATAATATTATATTTATTTGTTTTCACATTTTCCTATGAGGGATTAGCTCATTTTTATTAGTTGTACAGTTTATAATATGTTGTTGCAATGCTTGTTTTATGTGTGAGTGGTATTTTATTTTAAACTGTTGAATGTACATTTTATGTATCACCATACTGAGTCAGTCCGAACAGTGTGATTTGAGTTTATGGTTAGTTGTATTATTTTTGTGTATTTGTCAAAATCAAAGTTTTATATTAGAAGAATACGACATTCCTGTTAGTTAATTTATAGTTTTAACAGTTTTTGGTTGTGTATATGATAAATATTATTTATAAACATGTGTTATAAACATTTCTTTATTCCTGAAAATCACACCTTTACAATAACTTTTCTAAAAAAATATATAAACAAATTTTAAACCAGGCTAAACTTTGATATCCGACTAGATTGTAATATCAAACCAAAACTTTTGGCATTTTCAATTGTTAGGACTGGCTTCTCTACTTAACCACTTGATATGGTGTTTTTTTTATAGAGTATTTATAAGCCTGTTTTTTTAGTAAGGACTGGTTGCGCAACAAAGCTTATCACCATTTACTACCATAATTTGTGAACAGAATTACACAAATTCCAGCTCTGTAGCTGTAATGTATGTTACGCTACCTATGTATTTTTAAACAATCAAATCTCCTGCCAAAGGTAAGGTCAGTGATATGTTTTTTGATTGCAAGAAACATATCCGATCCTGACATTCATTGTAAGAATAAATTACTTGCGTCAAATAGCTCAATACTGGATACAGAATGGTAAATTTCAGTCAGAATATGTTTCGACACATTATCATCATCAGCTGAGTACTTTTACTTATGAAGTGTTAACAACAAGTATAACAATGATGGCTTTTTTGTCATTGTTCAATAGATTAACATAAAACAAAACAAGAAAACTACACAATAAGCTGTAGCTCAGGGGATCTACAGCTGGGCTTGACAATGAATTTAAACTGACATTCATGTGACTGAAGGAGGCGATGTCTATCCCTAATGCTATGAGTGTGAGAGTAGAGTGCGGCAATGGGTTAAGGAGTATTTTTTCTCAGTGGTTTTCTTTGAGAAGTTTTGGGGACCCACCAAACCCTCCAAGTCCTTACAAAATGTGCATTTTCACAACCATTGTTTAACTCCCTAGCCAATTTCTGAACTTTCCATGCTATCTTTGCACCAGGGCCATAATCTCCGACCAAATGGCGATGAATGTCCTTGTTGAATGGCGATCCAATATGTTTCTTGTTATCGAAAAACTTATCACTGACATTACCTTTTGGACGCGGCAGGAGATTTGATTGTTTACAAACTTTTAAAAACACACGGCTATACATGACAGCCTTAGAGCGGATATTTATGACATTTTGCCAGTAAATGGAAATAAAAAACCACCCTCATAATAACACAGAATAAATTAATACGATTGGGTGAAGACCATGGATCAAAGAATACAAAGCAGGTATTACAGGCCATTTGGAAACCAACACTGATCAAATAGGCTCAAAAATTTAATTACTAATCAATAAGTTTTTAACCGAGAATATATTTAAATCCTACCTAAAGCTAACTAGTAATAGGATGAGGAGCGACCTGGTATAGTGGAGCGTGGGACTTTGATCCCTGGTTCAAATCGCGCCCCCAATGAATTTTAACTAAGTGATATTGCCACAACCCCTAGGTCTAGCCTGAAGTAGTGTGAAAAAATCCCTAGCTCGTGCTTAGAGTCTTAGGACAAAATACCCCCGCCGCTGAATTTCCAGTTGCCTGAATTGATTTTCAATTAAATGTATTTAATTAACATTAGCTTTTATGAGTACATAGGCTTGCTGCTACAGGGAGAGTAAAAAAGTGTGTTTTTAGTAAAATATTAATAACTTAGAGTAAAATAAATAAATTTACCATGTTAGATCACAATATATCCGTAAACAAGCCAACACTACAACATTTTACAATATTCTCTATAATAATAACATAGGAATTTTAAAATAAATTTTTTTTTTTTAATTTTCTCCGTAACCAATGACCGCACAAAAACATTTCAATATACCAAATTATTTGTCTTCTTAAGCCCTTTAAGAAGGTCTGGAGAGAAATTGGGAATTTTTTTGTTTAGAGGGTCAAAAATTAGAAAAACTAGCCAAGTTTGATCAAAATATATCTATAAACAAACAAACTACAACATTTTACAATATTCTCCATAAGAATAACATGGGAATTTTAAATTTACAATTTTTTAAATTTTCTCCGTTACCAATAACCGAACAAAAATACTTTTATATACTAAATTATTTGTTTTTTAAGCTCTTTTAAAAGGTCTAAAGAGAAATTGGGAAATTTTGTGTTTTGAGGGTCAAAAGTGAGAAATCCCAATTTTTACCCCCAAACCCCCCCCCCCCTGTAAAACCCTGTTCCCATGGTCCGATCATGCTGGTTTGCGAACTCATTCAAGTTTATCCCGCCTTACACCTTTAAACCAAATTTCATCAAAATCAGGCAAAAATTACTCAAGTTATCATCTTTCCAGACACATATATATATATATAAATTTGAACAAATTGTGTTTTTGGCCTCTGGGGACATCAAAATGAAAAAGTAAATCGGTCCCGGGCCTAGGTCTTACCATATTACCACGGTATGACCTACGGTAATAGCTACTCCCCTATAGGAAAATTCGCTAAAATAACTTAGCCATTATCACATGATTAAATAACAATACTAATTAATTACATAACATGTATATTATCATTGGTCATGGAATGAAATAATATTGGGATCAATTTAAAATGTCTTCAAGTTTTTATTTTCGTGACCTTCAATCTACAATATTGTTGCAACAGGCCATTCGTCAACCTAGCCCATTCGTTTAGGACCAACCGGAACAAGGTGGAGATTATCATGGTGTTACTGCGAACGAGGGAGATGATTAAAAGTAACCGTGATCCATGGCCAGCCTAAGAAAAAATTTCAAGTGTGCTAAGACTCACTCATATCAGGTCAAAAGAGGGCCGGAGGTCCTCCCCCAGAAAAAATTTGAAATGTAAAGTCTAAAACAGTTTTTGTGCACTTAACTTTTTAGAACATTAAATCTTTGTCTCTCAATTGATTTAATATTGACTGACTTGATACGTTATATACTTTTTTGTACCTTTCTTGTACCTAACCACTATTATGATGTTAAGATTCGTAGTCACTTTTCAATGACTTTTACACTTACAGTATATTGTAAGTACTCTCAGAATAAGTAGCAAATACTGGAATCGCCGTATGCCAGACCGATAAATTGCATATCTCATGGGTGAAATAAAAATGAGGCAGAAATATGTCACGACCACAACCCTTCCTGCGACCCGCCACACAGACATGGACGGCTGCTCTACGGACCTTGGACGTTAGTCAAGGGCATCAGGCTACTGTATTTCAGAACTCAATAAGGGGGTAAGATTTTTGGTTTTAACTTTGAAATTGAACTGTAACAGTCTTTAGACAATGTTCCTACTTTAAATATTGCTGCCCAACATTTAAATCAATTTCTGTGAATTTGCCAATTAAAAGTGTTATTATCAAGAATGGTCAATTTGATGCCCCTCAAAAAGGCTGGAGTGTGCGGCTGCATACGTTACACACCCCTCAGGCAGGCCCTGCCGTGATCGTCGCAGATGATCAGGTTAGCGCCACGATTACTGAATATAGTTAGGATGGACTTGTGATAGATGCATAATTTATTAAACAAACTTGTAAACATATTAAATGCACTTTTATGCTCCTAGTTTTGATTAAACTTGAGTTTTTTCTTTACTGTTTGCAATATGTTATCTGGTTATTATGTAAAATATGTTTTTTTTTTTCAATCTGTGCATCTATATTTACTGTAGTTTTGTCATACACAAATCAGATTTATAGTGGAGGTCCACAACCCTCCCTCCCTCTCACCATAGAGTCATTCATTATGTAATTTCAGGGATGAACTTTTTACTCTGTGAAATACTTAAGTACAAGTTATTTGTTTGGAAGCTATATTAACTGCTCAAGACCTCAGTTTTGGATATCTGGACCCGGGATATGATTAGCCTAGACCCCAGTGATGATCACTGACAAATTCCAATGCTTGGTACATTGCTTTATTAGTGCCTAACAAAATAACCATAGTACCAGTTATTGCTATCAAGAAATTAACCACCCACAAATTGAAGGTACAAAGTAAATTGAAATAAACAGTTCTATACATTATACATGATTTTCAATTTGTTTTATTTATGAAGTTCATTACAAAGGTATTCTATTAACTGGATAAAAACATGGTATAAAGTTACTAAGGAACATGCTATATATAATATTTTAATAGACTAATCAACTAAATCTTTTATGTGATAAGTAAAATATATTAATTGTTCGTAAATTAGTATGGTCAGATTTGGTTTCTTTAAAGACGTAAATTAGATACAGAACCAGAACACAGTTTGTGTGAAACTTGTTTTTACATTGGTTTAAAAAAATACAACACAACTCTTTAAAAGCCAATAATAATGTTACTCATTTAAAAAATATTATTCATTTGGGCATTTTAAAATACCCAATCGAGGATATTTGTCCGCCAATCTGCATGCAAAAATTAACCAAAGTCCTACATCTAAATATTGACTTGCTAAAGCACAGGAATCAACCTTATCATACCTTGATTGCAACTATGTTGATCAAATGATTACGTTGTAAAGGATTGCACAATGTAAAAATAGGGGTTGCATTTAATAAAACATAGATACTAAAAGTTAACCAAAGCAGACCAGTCGTAGCAGCAAGTTGGGCAGAAAAAATAAAATGCAATAAACTGGAGCAGGAAAAATTACAAGCGCGAAAGAGAGGGAATCCACTGGACCATGGCTGAGGATCATCTTGATGATTGATGATTTGTGGACAGACTCAGGTACTAAAAATGTTCCAATCACATTCATACTAACAAATGACAAATGAGCAATAATCCAATTTGGAGTTAAAGCTACTTGTTTTTAAGTTACCGTCGTTACCGGTAACCCTCGTTTTCCTCAATATAAATAAGCAAATTCAGTATCCTATACTCTAAAACAAGCGTGTGTACGGACAAACTTTTATTTTCGTCCGAGGATTTTTAGTTTTGTTGTTTAATATGGCGTATTTGGCCACAAGAAATCAATTGGAGTTGGTCACAAGGCTGGGAAAAATCCAGTTTCCGCCCTACATCCCTTGAAAGTGTCCATGTTATCGTCAATACGTTTTTGTAGCTGCAGATAATAAAAACAGCTGATACAGGTTATTTTTATTGCAATCTATGTTTTTATAAAGGCGTATTGAAATGTTGTATCATCTAAATGTGTCCACATTGATACCCGTACATAATAAATATCTTTAATTTAGTTAAGAACTTATCTAATAAATGTAACGTTTAATAATTCAATCCGAGCAAAACTCGGTCTCCTGGTACTAGCCATTAAACTCGCTCAACCTCTCAAAAACATTTCGGTCTAGTAATAATATTTTAAACCAAGAGAGCCCAAAGATAAGTGTGAAGACAAAAAAAATATTGTTTTGGCTGTTATGCATAAATTTGCATTCCTAATTGGGGAATTTGAAATCAGTTATGAGCTGTTTCAATTAATCCTTTGGTCATTGGACATTTTCTTAGGTTTTCAGAATTTACTAAACAATTACAGAGTACAAAAATTTCTCTTTAACAACTTTAAAAAAACTCATATATTCTAGATCATCAAACACTCATTAAGAAACTATTTAACAATATATCATTCTGGCCAGTTAGACTTTAAACAAGAATATTTAAAAATAATAATAATATAAAAAGTTTAAAGCAATATTGCGATTCAATTTTCTTTATAGATTAAATCAGCTTAAAAAATTTACTTAAATTACCAATATTTTTTACCATTCCACAAACTATGCTACAAAACAATCCTACTCCAGATTTTATAATAAATAATATACAAATATATAACAATAATAGTGATATTATCCTATCTAATCAGCACCTAAAACATTATGTCTTGGTTGGCCCAGGGCTAAGATGATTGATGACCTGAAGTGCAGCTGAGTGACCGACGACGACTCTGACGCTGCCTCAACCTAGACCTTGGTCTCGACCTCGATCTCAGTTTGTTTCTGAGCCAACCTGCAACACACATGTACCATATTCAGTTCACTTCACTAATTTAATGTAGCCCGAATAAATTATCTGGAATGTCCATTTATTACAATGTAATGATGACAACATCTGCAATCGTGGCTCTATCGTAGTTATCTCAAATTATTGCGGCATAATCATTATCATACTGTACTGCTTTTATTTTGGACCTGTTCCAATGCAATTTTTACAACTACACCAGAAATACGACAAAAAATTTACTGAATTGTATACGTGGAGTACTAACGATTAATAAAAGAGTAAGGAATATCATAATGGATAACTATTTTAAATCTAAAATCTGAATAAATTAAAATTACATATGTACAAATCAGTTAAACCATTTTCCCAAAACACAGTATTAAAACCACCACAACCATTTATATTCCCAGCCTGAAGCACACAAGCGAAACTATTTAACAAATAATTTCAACTTGACTTAAATTAACTTGGTCTGGTAAACACAATGAAAGTATACATTAAATTCATTAAAGTATACATTAAAGTCAGTGGGAAACTTGAAAAAATAACAACACAAATATAACAAAGAGGCCATTTTTGGAAATTTGGAATCAGTAAGTTATAACCATTACCAGTCGACAAACAGGTAAGAAATTGTATGTTCAGATTCTATATTTTTAAATATAAACAATGAACTTATAGGCCTACCAAAACAAACATATTAATTTTATTTTTGTAGTTTTAAATTTGTTGAATTTAATTGATACTGTTTGTGGCATATGATTAACGGATCTCTTTAATGCAAGATTGCAGCACCAACACAGCACGCCCAGCAAACTGCGAGCCACATTAGTTACCTGCAAAGTTCCGACGTTTGAGTTGCGTCTGGCAACCACTCTGCGAAATGAAAAGTTAAAGAAATCAATCCATAGAATTAAGAGTTATTAAATGTTGTTTGTATTTCTGGGTTTAATACAGCAGTCACTATCACCCTAATGTAATAAAAGATCTTTTATTCTTTTTTTTATAGGAGAAGTTTTATTTTTGCCATTAAAACTTATCCCTAAGCAGCAAACTTCAACATTTCAAACACAGAAGTCTTAGTGTGGTGTTTTCTATTCCTCAGAGAATAGTTGAATACTTATTAAAGACTTTTACAATCAAAGTGCCATTAAATTTGGATTTACAAGTGCTTTAAATGTGATATTGAGTAAAACTTTGAACGAGTCCTTTCATGGAATTTTACTGTGAAAACTTAATGGCTACGGTATTTGAATTTTTACCAAGATACTTTGTTCTTTCTAAGATATGTCTCTTATACCTTATCATACATAACAATTTTTATAAAGACCATTTAAAAAAGTAGAAAGTTATAAAGTGTTTTAGAAAAACTGTTATTCTTCATTTTAACTTTATTTAAAAACCATGAAATCATTTCCCAGAGTTTGGCATTTTACTTAACCCTTTCAGACCAAGGCCACACTAAAAAAACAGGCCATAATGCTCGTCTAGCATGACGTCACGATAGAAGACGGCAATGACGTATTTTTGCCTTTTGTGATCAGCTGCTTGTTTTAATTTTTTAATTGAAAACAAAAATATAACCTTAATTACGTCATTGCCGTCTTCTATCGTGACGTAATGATTGACGAGCATTACGGCCTGTTTTTTTAGTGTGGCCTTGTTCAGACCCAGTACACTCATTTGTGTAGGTAAATTTTTAAGTCCTGACAACCTAACCAACACAATTGTGTAGGTTAGATGTTTATTTGTTTTTTTGAAGTTTCTGGATCTTTCTGTTGCTCAGACCTGTAAGCATTGATTGTGTAGGACGTAGGTTATGGAGATCAGCTGGGAATTTTTGTTTTGCAGTCTGCCTTCATGTCTTATGGTAACACTGATTGTTTTGTTGCAATGTCACTGTAAGATAGGAGAAAGAGGCAACTGTTAAGGTTAATGACTGTTTTATTAATGTTTTTAAACGTATATAATGCTAACTATTGCTGAAACTGAAATGGTTAATATGGTATTATGAAGGTTTCGTCTTTAAAACAAACCTAATCAATAATTTTAGTATTTGAAATCTTGGTTAAAAAGCAACATTTATTCAAAATTTGCTCAGGACTTAAATCGGTCGAGGTGACTAAGATCCCCGGGTCTTAAAGGGTTAAAGGACACCCTGTTTATTGATTATTGATTGTTTGATTTATGAGGATAAAAGTAATGAATTTATATTTTCATCAATTTTTTTAAAAGATATATTTAAGAGTGTCGTTCAAAACAGCGTATGTGGATTTTCGGTTTAGGTGGAGAATAAGTCAGTTTCTGACCCACTGCTATTTTCTCCCTAAACATAGTATAGGGCCTGTGGAGAATGTATTGTTTTTGTCAAAATGTTTTAGTTGGAGTTTTAGGTTAGTTTGAAGTGATGCCTGTGTGGGTATGTGTGTGGACATGTAGAGAGCTACAGACTACAACAGTGGTCAGATTGTATCTCCAGAATTTTTTTTTTCATTTTTTGTAATTTTGATTAAAAATTGTGAACTTCTCATAAAACATTGAAAAATCTGATTTTTTTCTAAAACAGCTCAAACCACATTGATTTAAATTTAGTATGTAATTGTACTTTTAAATCTGAACAGAATGGTACAACCCCCAATGCTGTAAAAAATATGGTTTAAAAGTTTTTATTTTTATACCTATGTTATTTTGCCCATAAAATACCGTTATGCCATTTTAACCACTTACCCCATTACAAGGGGCGGTTATTAGCAATTAGATTATTAGCAATACTTGGGAAATTGGGTCATATAATCCATACTGATTTATACGGTACAGATTCAAAACATAAAACTGATTAAATTACTTACATCCTTTGTTGGAACACCATTCCTTGCACTTGCCTGCGAAAGAAAAATACAATAACTTAGTGGTTGACATTAATTAGTGTGCATATGTACTAATATCTAAACCATTTGTCATTAATTTTTTACAGAGTTACAACCAACTAAGGTGTTGAACTTAGGTACTAGTTTCTTCCAATAACTAACCTAGGCTGTTATTTAAGTAAACAAAATAACTAGAATGATGACGTTGGTCCACAGACGCAAGAAAGATTTTCATAATTTTGACGCTATCGCAGGAGGAGAAATGACTTTTTCTGCGGGAGATATTTAGGTATTTGGCCGCGATCACGGGAGACGATGATGTTGTTTATACGACCGCAGAAGATGTCCTGGGTTTGGTTGCAATCACGGTAGATGATGATAATGTTTCTGTGAGTGCGAGAAGTATTCATGATTTTACCACAGTCATGGAGAACAATGATAATATTTCCGTGACCTATGAGGGTATTCAGAATCTTTTTCACGGTAATGGAAAACAATGGTGACGCCTCAGTGCCCTGGGAGATGCTGTACCAAGCCCAAGCACAAGGTTAGGTGGAAATATTGTTTAAATACTTGTCTGTGACACTGTGATTATTAGGAGAGGGGAGCCCGGTAAACAAACTTGCAGGAGGGGGTGCTGTATATTTTTAGCTTATTAACCTTAACATTAGTTAAAGTACTTGAATGTCAAACTATCCGAATCCGAACTTCTCAAGAGCTGATCCAGTCCAAACCAAGGCTTAACCATCCAACCTGAATAAGATGCAAACAGAAATGTTACTATCTGCACACCTCTAGAAAAAATGTTTTAACAATTGGGGAATTGGGGAAAAATGTCTTTTTGGCCTTTGGTCATTTTTCAACATCGCTTAACCGTATATCGAGCTTGTATCGTTGTATTGAAATATCAGTAAACTAAACACGTAGCAATGAGAGTCACTTAAGGCCCTGGTGATGAAATATGCCATTTCACTTCAAATTTACATTAGTTCTACCTTCCATAGTAGAAATTTTCCTTGAAAATTCTCAAATATTCACTGATTTGATGGATGTTATGATCAACTCACCTCCAGCCTATCCCTCTCTTGCTTCACTATCTCCAACTGTGACTCTAATGTTTGGATCTGTTGTCCCCAGCGACCCTCCTCCTGCTCTACGTGACTCTGTAATCTGTTGAGCATCCCTTCTGTATCAGCAATGATACTCTTGTAGTGTGTCACCATGGCCTGCAGTTGGCAGTTCTGCTGTTCCACTTCTGCCAACATTTCCGCATGATTTTCTCCCCCACCGTTTTCTGTCGAACTAGTGCTGCCGTTTTCCCTTGCACATTCCACAAACTGTTCTAGCCACACTTTATAGTCCTGCAACACAATATGGGGTTCATTGAAGTTAAATAGGACCTGTATCTAGCTTCCTAAATTACAGCATTCAATTAATTGGTCAACACAGTTCTAAATAAATATGTATGTGCATAAATAAAAAAAATTTGTCAGATTAGGTTCAAATACCTAGTACCGAAACCGAGTCCAAATTTTATATCCAATACTATCCGTTAAATATTCATTTTTACAGAGATACTAAATATTTTGATTTAGAAAATTTGATGTTATCGTATAAAAACTGTGATTACTTTGAGTATATAAACAATATTTAATTAACCCTCATACAGAATCAGGGGATCATGAAACTTGAGATGATCCTGGACCAATCTCTGCATTCCTCACTGCATTCTCACTGTCTAGCTAATAGTCCACTTTTCTGTGTGTTCAAAATTCCTTATCAGAATATTCGCTCATATGACAAGTCTGAAGAAAATTAAAAAAAAAACTTAATTTTTTTTCTCCACAACATAAAAGTTTGATAACATTTGTTTAAATACCGTACCTGCTTGGTATCGATAGTGATGCGTGGAAGTGTTCTTGAGAGAAATTGTTTGGTTTTCTCTTGTTCTTCTAATCTAGCATTTTCTTCTGCTTCCTGCAACATTAAAAAGGCTTGAAATTAAATGTGCAATACTTAATAGAGTTAAATTAAACCTTACAGGCTGAATTAATCTGTGGGATTTATAAGTATTTTATAAACATTGCATGGACATTTTTTTTTACAAAAGCAATGGAATAAAGTGGATTTAGAATTTTAAGGTAATGGATTGGTAGTAAAATTCAAAATTCAGAAATCCAACTAGGCTTTCACATGGGCAGAACTTGGGTTCACTATGAGGATTAGGCAATTAGGCTTATTATAATCCTGTTTAAAAGAATACTGGTCATTTAGCAACACAGCCAAACAAGGTATCTTGTTCAATTTTACACAAGTGTTTCATTAACAATATCACTAGACATGGTGACGCAACTAACATTTATTTCAACAGAAATACAAATGGAGGATGAGTGTGGGATGACTGAGATGTACCGTAAGTCGCTGTCTTAATGAAATTATCATAGCCAAACATTGATAACAAAGAATAACAAATTTGGATTAGAATAATCAGACTGCTCATAAACCTTTTGTGACACTAATTCAGGTTCAACTGTTTTTCAATTATAGTAATATTTTTTATAGTAGTACACTTATCCCTTGACGATCTGACATATTCAGTAGTCCGACATGTTGCCAGCAGTCTTATCAGTGGTGCAAGAAGAGAATTAGATTTTTTAAACATGTTAATGAGTTTCAAGAACAAGTGATGATGGGTTGCCTGGGTAAGAAGAAACAGACGACAATCACTCACTTTTATTACTATTAACACGTTGGGTGCTGATGACGGGAATTCCCGCCATTGCTTAACATTGAAATAAATGCAATTTTCATGTTCAAACATGTCAACGGCACTTTAAATGTTAAGTAAGTACTGTACAGGAGGTATGTATTTATTTTGCGTTAGAGATAGAGCAAACCTTGTAATATAAAATACCCCCGCCGCAGCAAACCTGCAGACTAAGCGAATTTCCATTTGCCTGATTGGATTTACACTAAAATGTCTACTTAAAAATATAACATTTATTTCCTATTTAAATAGAATTAGTATAACAAGTACTTAGGTTTGCTGCATCAGGGAGGGTAAAACTGTTTTTGTTTTTTTTTGTAAAATGTTAATAGTTAGTAAGAAATAAAAATATTTTCCAAATTTGATCAAAATATGTTCATAAACAAGCAAACTACAACAGTTTACTTATTCTCCATAAGAATAACATGGGAATTTTAAATTTACAGTTTTTTGGTATTTTATCCGTAACCATTAGGCGCATAATAACGCTTCAATATACTAAATTATTTGTTTTTTTGAGCTCTACAAAATGGTTTGGAAAGAAATTGCTAAATTTTATGTTTTTTGGGTCAAAAATGGGAAAAACCTATTTTTACCCCATAAAAACCCCCATAAACCCCCGTTCCCATGGTCCGATCATGCTGGATCGCGAACTCGTTCAAATAAACGTAGGTTTACACGTTTGTACCAAATTTTATCAAAATCGGATCATTTTTGCTTGAGTTATCGTGCTAACGGACACATATATATATATATAAATATATAAATATATAAATATATATATATATATATATGAATTTGAACGGATGGTGTTTTTGGCCTCTAGGGACCTCAAAACGAAAAAAAAAATCGGTCCCGCGTCCAGGTCTTACCATGAGTACTACGGTAATAGCTTATTCCCTATATGGGAAATTCGCTAAAAGATGTATTTTTATGTGTTCTTTAACTTTTGTCTTTACAAAAATTCTATAATACCAATAGTTTGTGAAATATTGTCCATCGGCCGCCATTTTCCAAGATGGCGACTGAAGCACAGCCGGGATTAATGGGGACTTTTGACATTTTCATCAACTTGGCTTACTTAACAACTGTACAAAATTCCTATTTAGTCCGAATTTGTTAGGTCGATTTTCCTAATATTCTTCCACTATTTACGCATTATTTGACAATGGAAACTAATTAATTTTAATTTTATTGGTCTAGAAAATGGTAAAAAAAAGGTAATTGAAACTAAAAATGACACCGATAGCAAGATAGAAACTTACAGTTATTAATATATGTGATTGTTTCATTTTAGTTTCCAAAGTCTTTTCAGTAGTTGTGAGAGCTTCCATGACTTTCCAGTTCTTTGTACGTAATTCCTAAATCAAAAATACATTAAGTTGTCAAAATTAGTGAAATTTATTCTTGAAAGAAATTTAACAATAATGACCCCTAATAATTGCTAGAATTTTCTCCACATAATAATGGTGGGCCTAATACTAACATCGTTGTTGAAACCTAGTGAAGCAGGTGTCTAAACATGGTAATTCGACAACAGTATAAAAAGTCTGTGTTTTATAGGGTATTATCAAAAATCAATCTTGTACTGATTAAAAACACTGTATTACAATAAAAAATACTTGTAATAATGTTACGACATTATTACATCAAAGGCAAACATTAAAACATAAAGATGAAAAACAACAAATGAAATGTAGAAATCACAACACATGTTGTGTGAAATAAGCAAAGAAGACAAGACACTGACATTTTTAAAATCATAATTCGGTTTTTACATGAATTGGTTAAGAATTTGGTTGGTCGAAACATTAATGGTAATGTCTTGATTGCCCAGTTTTTATTTATCTTTTTTACAACGGTTTAATTTGGAATCCCCTTCTTAAAGGCCCGATTTCCTAGTTGCCGAAAAACGCTGCAGAATTTGGTTACAGGGTTTTAAATGTCGCACTATATTCTTATCATATGCATTTTTCAAGATGAGCGTTTTCCTAGAACTGCGACATTTGACAAGGAGTGTGTGCCTAGTTGTCAAGAGGGGTTTGGTGGTAGACAATATTCCTGTACTAAGCAAATTTAAGAGAAGACAGATTTGTGCCGTCCTGTTATGTTCACTCAATGACAATTAAACTTACTTTCTTATCAAGGTAAATACTCCGTACGCCAAAAATTATAATATATTTACTACTCAGGAGAGGGAAGGTGTTTTCAAGTTGCTAATTATCAGACACCTGTTAGACGACTGTACTAAGTTCAAAGCATTTTACCCACCTACGCGTGAACAGTTTTATATGTTGGTGAGTTTTGTTGAAAAAGAGTTTAAATGTGAACCAACAACCGGGTGAAGGGACCAGTTTCACCAGCGGAAAAGTAACGCTGACCACCTCCACAGATCCATAGACAACAGTGTACTATCCTGGACTGAGTGCTCTAGGAGCAGTCACCCGTCCTTCTGTCCGCTGCGACATAGATTCGCTGCATAATTTGGCAGCTAGGAAAACTACTGCAACCAATCCTTTGTATTCGATTCAGTGTCGAAAATCGCAGCTGTATCTAGGAAATCGGACCTTAAATTTTCAATGGAAAATATAAAAAAACCTAACTGAGTGTACCATTCTTCAATGACTAACTTCAGGAGTCAGTTAGAAACTTTGACCATTTCCAAAAAGGGATATTTTAGATTTAGCCTTAAATTTTTGAATGTTAACCCAAATTAAGTGACACACTACTTCATAAAGAATGAACAGCAAAGCCTGGTGTCTCTATCTCAAACCATTACACAAATCTGTAATAGCAGCAATTTAAATTGTTTGTTATTCAGTGACATTTGTACAGGTAGTGGACACACTCTTGAACAATTATCCCCCCACAAACCTAGTGCATTATGAAAGAACAGTACAAAAAATTGTTTGCCGACACCACAGTTTTACCAATATGGACAAACTCGCATTTAACTCATTTTAAGATTTTATAAAATAAAGTAAATGGTAGAAACTAGGGACCATTGATCTTAAACCAGTATTAAAAGACAACAATTTCACATTTTTACCAGCTTAGCTCGAGTAGTATTGTATAGTCTATAGCGTACGTTTTGCAATTGACAACATCGTTTAGTAATGTGCGTTCTACCAAAGATGGCACATGCTGTGACATGTATCTACTAATACAAATACTACTTTATTAGGGAACTAGCTGTGAGTACCCGTTCTTCGTACGGGTTTATTCAAGAATAAGGTTACAAACTTTTTGTAATAACAATGATTAATTTATTTTAACATAATTTAGTACATAAAAATACATTAAAAAACTTAAATCTTAAAAAATATTCGAAAGTTTTAAATAACAAAGTTGGCAAAGATAGCAGAGTTGAAGCGCTTAACATTTGTCACAGCGAAATTACAATATCAAAATTTCAAAAACAACAAATGACATACATTGAAAATAAATATTAAATAGTGAAGAAAAACAAAAAACACAAAAAATTAAAAGGTTGCCTAACTTAATGCCTCTTCATATACTATATTAGTGGTTCGACCGCCTGGGGCATGTATGTAAAGGTTGGTTGGCGATCGCACTCGGCTGCACGCCACGTACAGCTGTCCGTGTGAAAAACATTGCGCGTCACCTAGTTCAATCCCTGCTGTTGACAGTGTCTGACCTTGCGATTTGTTGATCGTCATGGAAAAACATGGATTTAAGGGAAATTGCAGGCGCTTAAACTCAAAGGGATAGTTGCTTGGGATGAGGGGGATCCGGGGGACAAACACCACTTCTCCCGCACCACAGCCTGTTAGAATTTCGGCTTCTATGACATTTCGCTGGAGACTTCGAATTCGAAGCCGAGTCCCATTGCATAATTTAGGAGGGTTTAAATTTCTTAGAAGCATAACGGGAATACCAATTTTAAGATTAAGTTCGTGGGCGGGTAGTCCAGGTGCTGTCACCGAGTCAAGAAACTCTGCCGGGTAGTGCACTGCGTCATCATTTCTTAGAACTGTGTTCACCGACAAATATGTCTTGTCCTCGCTTAGGAATAGGGACATCACTTTCTTATTTATCTTTGTTGAAACTTCATTTTTTGGAGTGAGAATAGCCCTATTGCATAACCAGGCACTGCTCTTGTTTGGGAGGTCTTCAATTCCTGGATAGACTTTCTCGATGAGTTCATCTTGGGTTTGAACAATAACACCAAGAGAAGGTGGTATATCGATAGTTCCATCAACGTTACCCAGCTTTCCATCTCCCAACTTTAACAGAACATTGGAGAATTCTTCCACCTCATTTCCAATATTGGCCCGCATGTTCTTTGTTAACGCCAGTTTGTTCATTATTGGCCATAGGGTAGATCTTTTCATAGAGGCGTTAATTTCATCCGCCCTTGTGCCTCTCACTACAACTGGCAGAGTTTGGCGGAAGTCACCAGAGAACAATACCGTCACTCCACCCATGATCTTATTACTGTTCCTCATATCTTTGAGTGTTCTGTCGAGGGCCTCGATTGTCAGTTTATTGGACATCGTACACTCGTCCCAGACTATTAAGGAGGCTGCTTGTAGAACTCGTGCCATGGGAGCGCTCTTCGATATAGAACAAATCGGGATGTCCATATGCTCTACATTTATTGGGATTTTGAACATGGAATGGGCAGTTCTTCCACCTGGCAGAAGGGTTGCTGCAATGCCAGAAGAGGCCACAGCAAGAGCAATCTTACTGTTTGATCTAACCTTTGCGAGAATCAGCTTTATGAGGTAGGTCTTTCCAGTACCTCCAGGAGCATCAAGAAAAAACATCTTGTTTCTTTGTCCATTTATGCTCGTCAAAACTTGCTCATACACTTGGCGCTGCTCCTCGTTGAGAGTTGGCGTACACTGTTCAATAAACCTAATGAGTTCGGGATGGTCGTAACTTGTCTCTCTGATATAATCATGGTTTAACTGATTGACATCTATGGCTGGTACTGGTAAGTTGTAGCTTTCGAGCCCAAGTCCTCCCATGCGAGTGATTGTCTCTTGAATGCTTGCTAGGCACTGGTCATATATGATAGGATTGTTTTCAAAGGTGGTGTTAATGTCGACTTGATGTGCAGATCTCAAAAAGTCCTCTGAGAGGGAATCTCTGAATCTGATCCAGAGCTCAAGAGGGTTGCTCACATTGCAAAATACTAATAAGACACTGAAGAGATCCCTCAACTTGGTGGGACTGTCAGAAACAGCAGCTTCTGCAAGAGTGCCCTCCCAGCACGCATCATCCTCTAGTAAACCAAGGGCACGGCATGCGGATTGGAAATTTGGATGGAGCACACCATCAACAGTCTTGAGATCCTCAAAAGATGTTGGACCTCGAACAGTGTGTAGGAGGAGTCGGAGATGGTAACGCTCACTGCAGCTTGGATGGACAGTGTACACCCTACCGATGCACGGATCTTGTCTCACGTCAGGATGTCCTGGTACTGGTTGTCCTCTCCGCCTCCTGGACCAACCTCTTTGTTTAGAGTATGTATAATAATAGGGCAACTCGTTGTAGAGGAGGGTTCTTGAAAAGGCGTCCGTCTGGCAGAGATTGAAGAAGGCCAAAAGAGTTGTACTTTGGTCCATTCTTTCCCGAACATTGCCTGGCTGGAAATATACTCTTTGCTCATTTGGAAGGTGGACCTCTAAATGCAACACAGCGGGAAACCTCTCATGTATAGGAAATGATAAAATTCTCCATACCGCCTCAGATGTGCATATATACCGACCACTTTGGTACATTTTAATTTCGTCTGTGTCATTACTTACTGCAAATGTGGCCTGGTCACTGCCCTTGTTTATGTACTTGCAGATGTACTTTATAGATTTTACACTGCTACAGTACTCAACGTTAACACGTGTTAGAAATGTTCGGGACAATACAGGCGAGTAAGGTACTACCCATCGGTTGTCCATAGGGATTTCATCGTTACCTACTCTGATTAGGACATGATGGCCTCCATCATCTGGGGAGCGCCTTCTGTATGTTGGGTATCCATTGTCTCCTGTTGCCGTTTCATTGACAAATGGTCTAGGGTATCTTTTGCTACAGTGACCATCCTTCATACAGGGAAGCTTGCGCTGTCGCACATTAAAAGCTCCGCATGGTCCGTGCAGCATGTGAGTCTTGACTATATCTGCAAGTTCAGGATCAGTTTCAGGATTTGGAAGCTCTGCAGAAATGACTTGATCTATTCTATTTGGAGGAATGGATTCTTCAAGCCAAATCAGGATATGAGCGTGTGGAAGACCACGTTTCTGCCATTCAACAGAGTACATGTAGCAGCGAACTGAGCCATAAATCTGGCCTTTCATAAGAACAGCAATCATACAGTTAAGCTTCAAATGAAAAACTCGTGATACCACATCATACCGGTCGTGAGCAGACTGCCTTTCTCCAATTACACTCGTGATTTCTATCCATTTTGGATTTGTTGTCATTGTTATGAAAAGTTCTGGACGACCAAACTTCCGAACATAGCAAAAGGCGTCCTGTGTGCGAGAATGCATATATCTAGGACCTCCAGTGAAGGTGGCAGGTAAAATTATCTTTTGCCCCATTTCTTCTACGTTGTCGTCTCGTCTTAAAGCGTCTTGAAGGTGTATGTAATTCTCTGCTCTCAGTTCCTTTTGGTGCGTACGAAGATACAGCAGCCTTTCACTCTCAACTTTAGCGTACATGTCCACCAAGTACTGGTTCAAAAGCTGTTTGAATTTATGAATGTGATTTGCTTCACCTTCTCTAACCATAATGCGATAGGCGTAAAACTCTTGTGAGCTAGTTTTCTTTGTGGTTGGTTGTTTAGTAACCGGGTTTACATGATATAAATTGAAACTATATCCATCTTCGCCTCTACAAAACATAAGGGGATATTGTAGGGCATCATAAGATCGGTGGGTTTCATATATTCGTTTCAAACCCTGTTCTCTTGAATTTAAAATGATGTCTCGATGGTCACTTGGATCCCCAATCATCAAAATAGCAACCTCATTGACTGTTGGTTCATTGTATCTACCTGGGTGGTCCCCTGCAGGGCGTCTGTCGGCTCTAATAACAATTTTGAAATCAGGTGAATCTACAGGAAATGTTTCTAAAGTAGTTTTGAAGCTGAGCAAGTAGGCGTTATTATTCTGAAGCATGTTTTGCAAAGCGGCCAACATGTCATGATCAAGGTCTTGAAATAAACTTTGCCTTCTTTGAAGCTGGACTTGGTCATCCCCAACAAAGTAAATCTGAAGGTAAGACGGCGGAAGTCCAGGGGGTGGCAAAAGAGAGCCGATCAAATGGTACACTTGTCCTTGAACCTTAAATGTAGGCATATATGGTCCTTCACGGATTTCATTACCTCCAAAAGAAGTCATTTGGAACGCACTATTGTAGGCCCTGATATGTCTAAGAAAATTTCGCGATTGAGGTGATTCGTCCGATATCCATGTACGTAGCGGCTCAGGTGCTTCCAAAATAGACGGTATGGACACTTTACCAGAAGCACAACATATTCCACGTGGTTCCTTTGACCAACTCAAAGCGTGACAAAACCTACAAACTTTATCAAAATCTCCAATATTGGCAGCTTCACTGTAACGTGTAAAAGGATCATATTGGAATCCACTGTTGTGTGTGTCTCGCCATTCTGTTAAATTTCTTTCGACATGCCGAGTTCTTTCCCGCGCGATCCTAGTTTGTCTTTCTGCGTCGCTCTCAACGACTCTGTTCACCCTATGTCTTTCAGAATCAGCGGCAACACGGGCATTTCTGTCAGCAATGTCCTGGCTTGCTCGAAGTTCCTCCACTCGGGTCGCCTCGTCATGCAAAAGTAGAGTTTGCTCTTCAACAGTGCGACGGTACCTATCATTGTCGATTATATGTCTAGCTTCCCGCTCTTCAGGAGTTTCATTATTCCTACGTTGGTTTTGCCGAACTCTATCTCGTTCTTGCCTACTTTCTCTCTCTTCTCTTGTTTCATTTTCCCTCCTGCGAACGTGTAGGATTCGGTCACTGTTTCGACGTGCTCCTCCCTCCTCCACTGTCTCGTTTTCCCTCCTTTGAACATGTAGTATTCGGTCACTCTCCCGACGTGCTTCTTGCTCCTCCTCTGTTTCGTTTTCCCTTCTCTGGACGTGTAATATTCGGTCATTGTTCCGACGTGCTTCTTGCTCCTCCTCTGTTTCGTTTTCCCTCTTCCGTACGTGTCGTATTCGGTCACTGTTCCGACGTGCTTCTCGCTCCTCATCTGTCTCGTTTTCCCTCCTCTGAACATGTAGTTTTCGGTCACTCTCCCGACGTGCTTCTTGCTCCTCCTCTGTTTCATTTTCCCTCTTCCTTACGTGTATTATTCGGTCACTGTTCCGACGTGCTTCTCGCTTCTCATCTGTCTCGTTTTCCCTCCTCTGAACATGTAGTATTCGGTCACTCTCCCGACGTGCTTCTTGCTCCTCCTCTGTTTCGTTTTCCCTCCCCCGAACGTGTAGTATTCGGTCACTGTTCCGACGTGCTTCTCGCTCAACCTCTGTCTCGTTTCCCCTCTTCTGAACTTGCTGTATTCGGTTGCTGCACCGACGTGCATCTCGCTCCTCTTCTGTCTCATTTTCTTTTCTCTGGACGTGCCGTATTCGGTCCCTGTTCCGTCGAGCTTCTCGCTCCTCTTCCGTCTCATTTTGTATTCTTTGGCTAAATCTTAAACGTTCAGTGTCTCGCCTGCTTTCACGTTCTTTTTCATTCTGCTGAGACCTAAATAGGGCGACACGCTCTCGACTGGTTGAAGGTCGTGCATAATCTTCAACCACAACGGAACTTAAAATTGTCGACTCATTATTGCTATGTACACCATCATCAGAGTCCGAATCATCATAATCAACTGATTCCGTGGATACACACAATTTTTGTCTCTTGGCATTATTTGTTTTTCTACCCAAATTGCTTTTTCTCTTGCGAGGCATACTCTTCAGGACATATTTATTTAGAAACAATAGAAAATATTTCAACAAATAATGTATTAAAGATTAACTTGTAACCTCTCAACTAAAGCAACAAAAATATTGTCCATATGTTTAGTTGTAAACAAATTTAATTTGTGTTTGACACTATGTCAACGAATATCTCTACTGTACAGTATGAAACATCTGATTGATGCAAATTCATATGGGAATATGAACTTTTTTAAAAACATTACCTCAAAAAAAAATAAATTAAAAGAAGAGTAGATTTTCTTTTATTTATAAACGTGAAATAATTTAGGACATTATTAACTATTATAACTTTTATTTTGGTGTAAAGAGTAATGAACAATAATAAACTGGTCAAGTTTGTTTGCTGGTTAGTAGCGCACAGATATTAAAGAATAACAATCAGCTGATCGTAATTTTGTTATCTAAAATGTTTAACTTTTATATTGAATACTTTGTATTGAATCTGTAATTTGAATTAAATTTACTTCTAACCAATTAATGTATTATTATTTTAATTATTTGTACGGTAATGGATGAAATGTACAAAACCCATTGTTATAATTAGCAGAACTGGTGTTCAGTTATATAATATAGTATACATTTCGTATGGTTTTTAAGTTGTGTGAATCGATAAGGCTATGGTTAACCTTGAGTTCAAATAGGCTAACGTTTTCTAATCACAGCTGTATGCCAATGTCAAAATTAAGATTGTATTTCAATTAAAACCATGTGCATATGATTAGTTGTAAACAAAGCAACATTCTTCCAGAAATTCCACGTCAAAAATCGACAAAAACTTGATTTTCAAGGGTTTACTGTTAAATATCTAACTGTCTCATATTCGATGAAATACGTCTAAAACCATCTCATATATGTATAGTATTTGGAAAATAAGTTTCAGGCGGGACAGTGCTATAGTTATTGAGGAGTAGTTGTAATAAAGTGCGTATTTTAGCGTTACCAAGAGAATGACAGATAGACAGACAGACAGACAGACAGACAGACAGACAGAAATTGAGATAAGGTTTGATTCGGTTTCTCTGACCTATGAAATGTAAAAATAACCAAAAAGTTCATTATTCTAAGCAATGTACAGACAAAACTCTAATTTTATTTATATAGATGTGGATGTTATGAGTCATATGTGTATTGAATAAATGAGTACTCTCAGGAAATAATACTCAACAAACCAAAATGAGATTAACCTATAAAATTGAAATAACAAGTTAATCTTGTCAATGGAAATATTGTAAAACTTACATCGTTTTTGCGTTTTTGAGCTGCTATTTCTTGGGATAGTGATGTTATTTTGTTTATGTGATCTTTTATTTCTTGAGTATACTTTGATACAAGTTCTTTACTTGACACTAACTCGTCTTGCAACTGTCTTACTTCTGCTTCATATTTGTGAACTTGATTGGTCAGTGATTTTATTGTTGCCTCTTTTTCTGTTAATTCTTTCTTAAAAGTAATTAGTTGAGCGCTGAGTTCTTCTTGGTTGTCATTTTTATTTATACTGGCTTTAAAACTATCTATTTCACTTTTTAAGGACTGTACTAGAGCTTGTTGGTCAGCAAGCATTGTTTTATGTGTATTTAGTTCACTTGTGAGTTTTTCTATTGTAGCTTCTCTATTCTCCAGCTGTTCCCGACTAACAAAGTCTTTGTCGAGCCGCGAGATTTCAGCTTTGCTCTTGTTCACATCTTCTCTAAGAGTGATCACTAACTTATGAGCTGAGTCTCCCTCTTCTCGAAGAGCACTAATTACTGATTCTTGTTCCGTAACAAGTGACTTGTAGGAACTAATTTCTTTGAGCATTTTCTCAGAATTTGCATGTGCTGTACTTAGATCAGCTTTTAGGGAATTCATTGCCGTTTCGTTTTGTGCTAATTCAGTCTTTAAATTGCTTAACTCTTTTTCTTTACAAACAATATCACTCTTCAGATTTTCCAGTAATGTTTCATTTTCCAGTGACCTGAAAAATATGTATCACATTAAACTAAAACAGATCACCATTATAATACTTCAAATAACGTGAATTTTGTCATTTCTATTCTAGCTTCTTAACAGTTTATGAATAAGAATACTAGGTTTTAGTTTTACATACTACTGTGATCTATGTCGAAGTAGTAGCCAACAACCGTGGTCGTCATTAAATTCTTAACTTGAGTTCCATTCCTCTTAAATTAAAAAAAACCCCTAACCTTCTTCGTAAAGGCCTACTAAATAAATAAACATAGTAAATAAACTTTGGTTGAATCTTAATTTTCAATTATTGAGATTGATAATTCAGTAAGAATCAGACGTTGTGGTGTAGCGACCAGCGACTTACTTTTCTGAGTTGTGGTGTTTAGTCTCAATGAAGGAGTGGTCCCCATTCTCTCGACCCTCGGTGGCCGGTCGTTCCATGGAGGCCGTCACTTGAGCCGCCAAGCTCTCATTGTCATCCCTCAGTCGCTGAGCTTCCACACACGCTGATGATATCTGAACAGTGAACAGGTCACACCTCTAATTCACTGTTACAACTCGGGGCCACTAGAGTCTGCAGTCACTACACACTAATTAACGACACTAATTAAAATATATTAAACAATATTTTAAAATCAGCTGGTATTATTAGATTTGGCAACAACGCACAGTCATCATTGGCTCCGTCACGTGGTAAATAGGCTCCTCCCTCAACTGCAGACTCTCGTGGACCGTACTCTAATTATTTATTTATGTTCATAGCTATCTATGTTGCTGTCAAAACAATAGTTTCTTAGTATTTATTGAAGAAAATCTATACATTAATTTGAAACTGATTTTCTTTGTCATAGCTATTTTGAGAGAACGGCTGGGTGTAAAAACTCGGTAGGGGTGTCTAAAGAAAGGTCTTGGTCTGTAGATGAGACATCAAAAGAGAAACATGGTGAATTCCCTTGGGGCTCTGCCCCAGTGGCCTTTAAATTCCCATCCCATGTTATTCTTATGGAGGAAAACGGGGTTTTTGTCGTAGCTAATTTGAGAGAACGGCTGGGCGTAGAAACTTGGTAGGGGTCTCTAAAGAAAGGTCTTGGTCTGTAGATGAGCCATCAAAAGAGGAACGAGGTAAATTCCCTTGGGGCTCTGCCCCAGAAGCCTTTAAAGTTGCCTCTTCAGATTTGATTACATTACGACCATATGCATAATTCTACACTACTTTTTAATGAAACAGCTGTTAATATTTAAATTGTGATTTATTGAATTTGTCGAATGAAGTACAGTATTTGCAATGGGTTTTCTGATTTTAAATTGGATTTTCTTCTGCATCGTGTCATGTTTTGCAATATAATGTTCTATTACCAAATCAGTTTAAAATCCTAATATCACAGTAACTCTTAAAATTATTTCTTTTGGAGTTAACTTATATCTATTGTATGGGTTGGTTTCTGCCTCTTTTACCACTTCTTGGAGATTGTACGTAGGTGATATTTGTTGGCATATTGCATCTGTAGACGAAACTTGGTTTGGTGTAATTATTACAATGGAAAGAGCGAGAAATCCTGGACAATTTGATATAGGCTAAAAATAAAAATGAATTAACACTGTTCTACATTTCTTGAGCAATCATTGAAATAATCGATTTGCAAACAATGGAAACATAGAAAAAGTCACAGAACACAACCAAGTAGAAGAAATAGAAATAATTTTTTTTTTCATTTGTAATCGTTGTCATAGACAACCTAATGCGGCTATGAGAGGGAAAAATTTGTAGAAAACACTAAAAAAACAAGATAAGCTTTTTGAAAAAAGATAAGATATTTAAAAAAGATTTTGATTATATCTAACTGTTGTGTAGATCGTGAGTATTTCTATAATCTTTGAGTTGCCTGTAATGCTTCGCAATTGCTCGAATTCGAGCAACAGGTACACTAGTCTATATATAATAAAAAAATTTTACTTTACTGTCTACCATAATGAGTTGATCAAATTGTATGCTATAACTTTAGATGTCTTAAACGACTGACCTATGGAGTAAATTATATTAAACTATAAGGTTAGTTCTGGTAAGTTAGCTCATTGCAAAATAAATCCATCAGGATGAGTTTTCTTTTGTTTATAGTCTATGTAACATTAGTCCGAAATATAACCAGTCAATAAAAGAGTAAATATGTTTAATTCAAATTCAAAACTAAACTATTCTTTATTCACCTAATATAGCCTACATTGTATTTAATTAAATAGTTCCAATGTTTAGTGACCAAGTCTCAGGATGGTTGCAATATTTCCAACATATTAATTACCATTACTTTTAAATATATATATGATAGTGCATATATAAATATATATATGATATGATAGTGCATACAGGTATTGATATTTACCATACAACAAATTTGATGATTTAGGACTAGATTAAAGGAACAAATTAATGCTAGGAGAATTTCAGATGTGGGAAGTACTCTTCTATTGAGTATAGATCTTTATTTGTCAAAAATTCTTTTAGTAGTTTTAAACTCATTTGTGTTTGTGGTGATTTTTATATTGTTAGGTAGGCGTCTAAGAAACTTCAGTCCCACATGGGTTGTTTATTCCATAAAATTTTAGCTTGTGGCATGTTTTAATTTTATATTTTGTATAGCTTGTATTGTAAATGTGGGACCTTTCATCTAAATTAAGGTTTGTTTGACTATTATTTACTGTAAGGATTGTTTCATAAATATAATGGCCATAAACTGTTAATATTTTAAGGTTTTTAAATTGTTCCTTTACCGTTTGATGACAAAGTTTAAAATACTTTGTTGGAGATACTCGGCATTATAAGCAAATTCAGTTTTAATACATGTCCTTAAAACCTAGAAAATCTTAATTTAGCAAAATACTGCACAGACTTTGTTGTATATTTGTCAAAGTAATAGTTCCTAAGCGAACTTAAAAATAAATAAGTTCACCTGATGAGCCAGCCGGTTGTTTTCAGTTTGCAAAGTCTGCACTAAGCTGCTCAGTTTGTCATTTTCGGAACGTTTCATGTTTAGTTGCTCTGTTAAGGAACTAACTTCATTCTGGAGACGGCTTGTATCATACTGAGATTTTGATTTCAAACGCTCCATTTCAGAGTGAAGTTCCTATAGCATTAAAACCTGTTAGTACAGTATATCAAAAACATCAAATAGAGTTGATTCTAAAAGTAGTGTTAGTCCATGAGAAATTCCCTTTACTTGAAATATCATATCTAAATACAGAGAATACTAACAACCGTGGTTATAATTTTACAAAGATAAAAAATTCTAGTACTCAATGCAGATTTTAGTTTACAAAATCTTGAGAGTTGGATCCATTCTTAAAGTGGGGTCATTGGACCACCAATAAATAATAAACTATATAATTTACTCAAAACTAATTGTTTTAGGTCAATACCAATCATAACAAGTCTGATTATCCTTATTCTTGTTAAGAACTCCTACACAACAAGGAACAATAAGCGGTATTACCTTGATCTGCCTAGAGTCCCGTGCTAACGCAAGCTCTCCGCTGAGCTGTGTGTTAACAGCCTCTTGTTCTTGTAGCTGACCAGCTAGCTGTTGTAGTTGACCTTCCATCGCAGCAACAGTCTGCAACACAACCACTCTAAGGTTATTATACTTATAAATATTAATTAATTATTTCACAGAACCTTTTGCGGACCATCTTTAGTAATTTCCAGTATCTGTAAACATTATTATCCCGCAGTCATAGTTGTCTCCCAGTCACAAAGCATTATTCTCCAAGGTTGTTTAGACATCTTCATCGTCATTTGTGATCGCGACAAAATCTTTAATATCTTTCACAGTCTTGTATACATCATCGTTGTCTCCTGTGATGAAGGAAAATCATAACCGTCTCGTCATGAAAACATTATTATCGTCTTAAGCCATAGCAGCAAAATAGTTAAATATTTGGAGACACCTGCAAAAAACCTAGTTGATTTGCTGTTGTTACCTCTTGGTGTTGTTCTGTGAGCCGTGCAATGTGCATCTCCAGCTGTTGTCTCTGAGCCAGCAACTCCTGTTGCATGGCCCCCTGTGTCTGTGACTGGTCCTCCTGCAGCTTGCATAGCAACATGTGCTCTTCACTCAGCTTGCTCTGCAGCTATACAACACACATCTAAATGTGAATCTCTTTCAATACATAACTTACAATGTTATATACCATGTAAAGATATGAAAAATTGCTAGAAATCTTGAGGTGGGACATAGCTTTCTCTAATGCAAGACTGCGCCCAACAATGTGGCAACGCTGCTCTTGCCGTTCTATCGTTTAACAGTAATAAATGTGTTAACATTAGCATTGTGCAGACGCTCCAGTTAAATTAGCACTACAGTTGCCTCAGGAGGCCAGGACTGAGGCGTAGCGACTTTTGTCTCAACCAGGTCTTGTATAAGATGAGGCTATAGGTGGGATTTTCAAATTGACACTTTAATGTGGGTAATATATTAATTCAGTGTTTGGATTAACCTGTTAAAATGTAGTACTATCTGCCCTTGCACTAAGCTCTTTACTTTAGAGTGGGCAATGGGAGAATCATGCTTAGCACTACCTCAAATATGTAGCGTCTGAAGTTTTTACTGCACACTGTGCACATGTTGCCCAGCATGCACCATTTGATTAAAAAAACTTTTTAAAATTGTATGTTTTCTATTACAGGTACCGGTACAGAAAAGGGTATAAAAGAGCTAGATGAATTAAACACATTTTTTTATATTCAAGCACTGTATCGTATTTAATTTATATTTAACGAGCTGTTGGCCCGTCCTACGTACGGGATTGAGAAGTCAACAAAAACTGAAATTATATTAATATTTCCATTTCTAATCCAAACAAAGTTTAAGCAGTTAACCATTTCCTGAAAACAAAAAGCTGCCAAGATGAACTAAAACATGTACACATTTTCCTATTCTTTCCTCAAAAAGTCGAACAGAAAAATAATTTGCATAATTTTTCCTTTGAATTCTTGGGGGCAGAGCCTCGATTTGTATACATCAGTCGTTATAGAATCTTGAATCTTACTTATTTTCTATATTCAATGCCAACATCACAGAATAATAAACTAACCTGTTAGTTTGAAAGACAACTTTTATATTCAACCAGCTGTTAGTTAAAACAAATTATATTGCACTAAAACAAACTTAAAATTTTAAAGATTGCTCTAAAAAATAAATTAGAACATCTATCATTAAACCATGAATATTTAAATAGTCTGTCATCCTCTTACCCATAAAATGGACGTACAATGAGCATAGCATTACACATAGTATAAATAAGTCAACCCTAAGCATGTAATTATTATCCAAATGCTGAATTTGTGACACAAAAGCTGAATGTTTACGGCTGTTATGTTAAGCAAATTATTTTATGCCAAAAGCTAGTTTAGAATCTTAGCGTCGGCTGCTAGACTTTTTAAAAATTAAAACTTAATTTTTAAAAAAGTGGGACCCTAAACTAAATTTATGGCTTCGACATTCCTTAGTTCTCAAAATTATCTTTCTTTCAACACAAAAATCATGAAAATCCGTCGAGTGGTTGATTCAGAATCGTGAAATAAAAAAACACTGTTTCGTTTTAATATTATAGATACGATACAGTGCTTGAATATAAAAAAATGTTTTTAATTCATCTAGCCCTTTTATACCCTTTCCTGTACCTGTAATAGAAAACATACAATTTTATGTATGGTATCTAGATTAATTCAAAAAATCTAGATTATTTGATAGTCCGGATAATTGACGAACTACTGTACCTGTTGCATTTGCTTCATTAGATTCTGCTTCTCTTCACCAAAGGTCTGCAGTCTCATGCCCATGGTAGCCACCTCAGTTGCTTTAGAGCGTAGAGCCTCCTCCATCTGTTTGGTGGATTGTTTCTCTGTGTTAAGCTCTTGTCTCAGCTCACGCAGTTTGTTCTGAAGAGCTGCAGCAGCATCTTGCTCCTCGACCAATGCCTTCTCCTTTTCTGCCAGCTGCTTTTTCAGCTTCATTACAGGATCTTGCCGTCCCTAACAATTACACAGATGTTTAATTACTATATATATGGTAATGGAGACACCTACTTGTTAAATAATAGTCGTTTGGATAATATTCCTGGCGAGTACCAATTTTTAGGTTTAATCTGACAAAATTGAGAGATTTTTATATGGGAATGTCAGTATATTTTCAAGATTGCAGAAGACATCTGCAAAGTTAAACAGTTTAAAATTCTTGTTCTTGCCACAAACACTGGAGATAATCATGATGTCACCAGGACTGCAAGGAAAGTGGTTACAATAGTAGAGGACTGTTAAGGATAGTCACAAAGATGCCACAATCAATAATTATAGTCATGATTTTACAATTTTCTGATTTTGGATTTTCGACTTTGTCAGGCTAATGTAAGCCTTTGTTTAAAATTACGAATACATACATGGTACATGCCTACGGCAAACAAACTAATGAATACTTTTTTTTATTATTTTTACCTTGGAAATAGGTTATGTTGTAAGGAGATACATTTTTAACACTTTTAAGTATTAAGCCTAAACTATGTAACTCTGAATGAATATCAACTAAAATTATAGCCCTAGCCTAAAACTTACCTTTTTGTAAAATGTTTCATTATTGCTACAAAACAGGTAGAGGAGATTGAGAACAGTGGAAGCACAGGAAAGTGTATTCTGTACTGCAGGAATAAGGAGAGGTGATGGGGTGTGACACTGGGAAAACAAACTATGCAAGTCAACCGGCTTAATTCGTTCTGCCTCACCCTGTAATATGATTTTTTTAAATATATATGCAATTTTATAGATTTTAATTTTTAGGGTTGAAAAAAACTATTTTCAAACTAGAACATTTTAATACAAATTACCAAGGAATGTCGCATCGGATGACCTTTTTGAGAATACTGTATGTAGTAAAAATGGCCACAGATGTAGAGTATTCCAAACTCCGCTGATACCAACATTTTGTGATTATTGATTTTTGGAATGCCTCGGAATATCTGACAAATTTAAAGAACACTTTGTGCAAAAAGTTAGAGAAACATTGCAATAGCAGTAGAGTACCGATAAACACTATTTTTTCAATATATTTCCAATACTGCACTAACAATGCTAATCCAAACAAATATTGTTGTTCCCTTATTAAAAATGCTGATTATAAAGAATTGTGGTCATACCTCTATCCACTCAGCACTCTCAACGGATGAACCTTGTTGCTTGTTGAGCAGTAAGTCGATGAGCACTTGAATCTCTGTGCGAGACAATTCAGCTTTGTGAACAAGGGGCATCAACAAGTTGACATTCACAGCTTCTTTGTCCCCACCTGCATCATCATACACGGTTAGAATCAACTAAGGAACTCAGTAGTAAATCTCTGGATACAGTATTAGAAAAATTGCAACTCCTGCTAAAACAGAATTAGGTCTAAATTATAGATATAGAGTGGTAAAAAGGTCTTGGTATCAAACAACTGATACATTGATGATCATGAGCATTTTGTTTGCAACTCTTTAGTTATTTTTAAAGCTAAATAGCTTTTAAATGCACACTTTTAATGGTGCAGATGGTGTTATTCTGTTCAGAAAAAAAAGGGTATAAATGTGCAACTGTCAAAAGTTTTCTATCAATGTTGGATTTTTTATATCACAGGACTTATAAACCCTCAGACTTTAGGACAAGACTATTGTTAAGAGTTTAATTTTTTTTTCATAGAAAAAATAAGTCAGTTATTCCAGGTAATTGAATCTTCTAGTCTCAAGTATGCCTCAGATAGTGCTCGACCTTGACCAATAATCTGCTGACTTCAGATAACATTCTCTGCTCTGTTAGTGGCTTAATAATATATACACCTACAAGCCAATAAAAGCTCCACTGCTTAGTTGTTGTATATATCTGATATTATTAACAAACACCCAAGCTCAAGCTTTAATACAATCCTGGGGTTTCTGTATTTGTCTAAACCGATCCAGAGATCCCGAGATCAACAGCTGTATCAGAAAATGATAGTGTGAAATAACCATATGGCCCTATTATAAACAAATATTTTCTCCAAATGTTAAAGGCCACTGGGACTGGGATAGAGCTCCAAGAGAATTTACCTTGTTTTTCTTTTGATAGCTCATCTACAGATTAAGACCATTCTTTAGACACCTCTACCCAGCTTCTACACCCAACCGTTCCCTAAAATTAGTGGATACAAAGAAAAACAGATTCCAATTAAATACCGTACATAGATTACCACATGGTCATGGAACTTAAGTCTTTCTTATTAACAGTGTATTAATGTTGATAAGTCATTCTAGAATTCATGAAATACATACTACAAAGGAAAACACGAGCAACCACACTTGCATGTATATGTCACTCTTCACAACACTAAACACTAAACACACCAAGTTGTGCAACATTTTACTTTGACTACTGGGCAAACTAATATGCTATTATTTCAGTTCAGAACTTGATCTCTAAAATCAATTTTCTGTAAACTCACTGTTATTAACCTAAGTTAAAACCTACTCATTTGATGTAGAGTTGAAAGTTCACTGCGTTTCTTGCGGTTGTTCTTAGCAGAAGGTGAGACATGTTCCACAGAAGCACTCTGAACTTGTTTCACAGAAGTTTTCATAACAACTTCTTCAGCCGGCTTCTGGCTAACGGTTTTTTCTTGAGGTTTATTTATTGGTTTATCGCTCATTTTAGACACAACAGCTTTTTCAGTCGGTTTCACGAGTTGTTGGACTTGTTTTTGAACCTGAACTTTTTCTATCTTCAACTCCTTAGGTTGTTCTTTAACCTGTGTTTTTGTCTGTTTGCTGCTAGATGATTGTTTTTGAACTGATTGAAGTTCAATGGGCTTTGTCTGAACATCTTCTCGCTTTAAACAGAAAAACATACATTGAAATATGATACAAAGAATAGGTACACAGAGATTCTTGAGTCTATTCTACTGCTCAAGTCAATAAGATTATATAAAAAGTTATCAAATATGTACAGCCAAAACAATACACTCTATTGTTTTAGCCCTAGCCTACAATAGAGGGACAATAGAGGGAGTTTATAGACTGGTAAACAAAATTCTAAGTACGAATAATAATTTTATGTGTAACCTGCCAACAGAAGCACCTGACGATTCTTTTTTCATTACTCCAGCACCTATATTCATACAAATTTTGCTATTTACAATTTAGCATATAAAATGCATTTACAATCCAAGATTTTTTCTGGTCATCAAAATGTAAATGTAAAAAGTATGATTCCCTATTTTTCGGTTGTTACTTCAGAGCACATTGCTTTGTTTAGAATTTAAATATATTTACCTCTTTTTCCTAAAATGTGGTTCAGATCAGCTGCAAGTTCTGATTTATATGGTTTGGATTAGTGGGACAGTAAAAATTGTGATTTTAATTATTGGTGATGTGTGAAAACCAAAAATAGCCTATTGCCCAATGCGGAAATCAGATTAACAAATATCCAATGTCACAAATACCAGAAGTTAATTCCCAAATGACCATCTGGTAAAAAACTTCATACGATTGAATGAAATACAAACTAAGTTATTTTATACAAATGATGTAAGCTTCACTGATTATAGCCAGTAATCTCAGAAAAGCTTTGAAGTAACCTGGTGCTAGAGGTTGCCTAAGTACACTTAACTGCTCCAGAAACTGGATGCAAGTTGACCAATGGCAGGTTCATTAACTAGGATCGTGAATGAACTTTGAACGTTTGAACTTTGCAATGCCTGATACATTTCTAATTACTCAAGCCGTGATAAATTTTAAGACTTTTTATACAGAGCTTAATCTGAACTATGTTTTTACAAAGTACATTACAATAGTGATAAAGGGCAGCAAAGCCATTTCAGCCTTTGTGTGAATAGAGTGCTAACACATCTACAGATAAGTCACTAAAACAATTAGTTTAGGTTAGATAACTTTATGTACAAATAGCTTTCCACTGGTTGCTACAAAATTTATTGGTGGCAATTCTACTCATGCATTGTAACTATTACTTGAGTGCTCTACATTACAAGTTTAGTTAGTCAATTCCCTAGAGTTTCCATAAGGATAGGCCTATGCGTAATATATGATGACTCTACACTCTAACAAACATCGTGAATGACGTCTAGCAGAGATTTATTTATGTTTATAATTGTATTTTCAATAAATTATAGATTTTCCAAGTTGTATTTATTGTCAAACTTATCTATACGTTTATATAACACCAAATTTCACACGAAAGACCAGATATATAGGTCATGTTTTTTTAGGCAAAGATTCTGTAGCAGAGATGCTCAAATGGTTAGACACCATAACTAAAGGAGAAGATAATATGATCTGAATTACAGGGGTGGCGGAAGCAGATTTTTGTTAGGGGGTCAGAAACCTATGGTGGGGGTCCAAATCCGGGGGGTCTGGAATACAGTACACCCCAGGGTAAAGGGGGGACAGGGGGGACCTAACTAAGAATTACATAGTGATTAGCTATAAACCAAAAAACAACATTGAGTTACAAACTATTAGTAACGAGAAAACAAGTTAACTGAATTAAGCTATAAAGCATTTGACTACATAATGTCATGCATTAAGGACCTAAGGAATTACAGTGTTACACAAATGATAAGAACACACTAAAATACATAGGGTGTCTCATACGAGTATGGCTCAATGAGAATTTATTACTAGACAACTTAAATTTATTACTAGGATTCAGCATTTAACTGCTTATACCACCACAGCCATGAAATATGATCTATCCAACTCTCAGAATCCAATTAGTTTTCTGGGAATTCAGTGGAATCAACGATGTAATGGGAGTTTAAAACTTGATTCATAATTTCTAAACTATTTCGTGTTCGGCATACTTTGAGAATGTAAATCCTCTAAATTTGAATTGATGTAAGTTGTGGACATTTACTATACTTATGTTGTTCACTTTTGAATTGTCTCCTTCTTTAGGTTTTATGTTTTTACCATAACATAAACTTTGTTGTATTTCTATTTTTATCCTTCACAGTCAATCTATAATATACTGTGTATAATCATTGACTATTGGATACTTTGTATAATCAATTCTCTAAGACTTGTATGTGTCACAACTTACTTATTACTTTTCATTATAACACTAATAGAATGCTCAAATCAGAAGGTAAAAAATGGGTTAAGAGCAAAACTACAGAATGCTAAAACTGGAATAATTTCACTAAGTTGACTGGCAGAGAGTAGGCCTACAGTAAAAGCCCTCTAATCCGGCATCCAAAGGTCACTTTGTTCTCTTGAATTTTCAGCATATCCTTTTTTGTAAAGAGATATTATGCCGTTCCTTTCTGTGACTGAAAATTTTGTCATTCTGTCATGACTATAGACAAGGTTCAAAGGTCCGAGAGGGTCACGTGTATTGTCTTCAGGGGGCTGATCTAACTGAATTAATAAGCTTCAAGCTTTTATTGTGTCGCAAATCATGGAGTTTAATCGTTATTCTAAATGGGAATGAAATTATATGAATCTTTTGAGCTATAAATTATAAACTTTGTCAGACCAGCGGATTTCCAATTCTGAATGTTGTTCACAGCAACTGGTCAACATTTGCAATTCTATGGCAAATTGATCCATTTGGGCTAAGTTCACATTTCTCCTAACATGTTACGTATCCAATCTAAATTTTCATCATGGGAAGCACTGTTAGACCAAATGTTTCTACTGTTGTGGTTCTGATTGTCGGTTTATCTTTTCTACTTAATTTTTGATCTCTAGTTAAATGGCTTTTGGCATCATTCGCATATTATTTTTTATTAACTTAGAACTGTCTACATTGTCTATATTTCTTTAAATCAATTTTTCAACAAATTTCTGCCCAATGAACACGTCTCCTCTCAGTTTTTGTAAGTGTGATTTCTTGTAGAATGTCTGAAAAATGCACATAACAATTTCCTGAAGAGCTCATCATTTCCTTAAACCAACTATCAACATTTTCTCTAGAACTGTCGTAGGCTACCCTACCTTAAATAACAGCATTTCAAGTTGTTTTAAGGGCACACAAAATTGGGTATAGCGAGTGTATACATGGGGTTCCAAGTCGGCAGCATTAATATTAATATAATAAGTAGGCCTACACGATAATTTCACTAAGTTACAATACATGATGCTGCATATGTGTCAAAATGTAGCTCCTTAAGTCAACCAATGGCCAATGGTAATTATTTTATCCTTAAACACCGCTGAACTCTTTATATCTGACAGTAAAGCATCGATTACCCAAAGCCCAATCATCTGGAACTTCCTAACCAAAAGAAGGAGGAACTAATATTATTATCTAAATCGAATTAAGAGCTAAGCCATTAAACACAGGACACCCTATATATTTTTAAGAAACAAAAATAGATAGGGTTTTCCACAAACACATAACACAGCAAGAAGCTGAACTTACACTAATACTATGTTTTAAAGTGAAATCATCCTTGGGAACAATCTGTTCAAAATGATTTTTGGTAGGAACTTCCGGTACATCAATGACCGGTGTGATTTCACTTTTGTTGATAAGAATTGGTTTTTCTTTCTTTTTATTCTTCTTTTTCTTCTTATCTTCAACCTAAAATATGTCACATTCGAAACTTAGGCCGAATAGTGCACCATTATTTTTATAAATGTCCATGTTGATCATGTGCATAGTTTGGTTGGGTTTCAAGAGATTTAATTGTGCAGTTTGAGTACAAAATACACAGATCTTACCATTGTCCATATGTTATGAGTGTACCCAAATAATAGCAATTAATATTGTTTACTATAAAAGTACTGTATAGTATTCAGTAGAGTCCCGCAAATTTGGCACTAGATTACCCTGCAGTCTGGATAACTCGGCCATCACCTGGCTCAGATAATTCGTGATTTTTTTTTCAATCCGAGTTAAACATGGACTCAAGCCAGCTCAAGTCAAATCATTCACAACTCCTACCAAGGATTTGTTGTACTATATCTGAATACTTAATACTGACTTTAATATAAATATAAACAAAAAAAGGCGGTTAAAAACTCGGCACTTTCCAGTCCACATTACGCCTAGTTTGCGGGACTCTACTTTATATATGAAAAAGACACAGTAAGCTACTAATTAATAAAGGAATTTTGATCCAATCAATGTACCGGTACATCACATTATAACTGCATCATGAAAAAATGTTTAAAAATAACAAAAATTGAATCTAATTTTAATGTGACAAAAATTAGGGATTATCTATAAAAGAAAAAATAGGCCTGCGCATATATTTAGCCAGTTTTTAGTTGACACCTAACATTCAATTAAAATGTTCTAAGAGATTTACCTTTGTTGTTGTTGTCTGAGTTCTAGTAGATAAGATTGTTGTGTCACCCTATGCATGTGACATCTTCAGGGGTCTTCTTGTGAATTTATCTTCTTAGCAACACTAACGCTTTTGTCTATGTTTACAAAAATATTTACAAATACACGGGTCAATCAGACAACAGAACAACATACAAACGACGAGATGTCTTTTTTCTATGTTTTCCTGCTATTCATCCCGACACGTGTCTACCGTTGCATTGTCCTATCGACCCAACTGCGATACTAGTGACCGTGTATGTGTAAATATTTTTGTAAAATAAAGACTATAGTGTTAAAGTTGATAAGAAGATAAATTCACAGAAGACCCCTGAAGATGCCACACAAGGTGGCGAAACACATACTGTAGGGAGACCCAAACATTAAAAATTAAGAAGATTAAAATTCACTCAACTACAAGAACTCAGCCAACAAAAACAAAGGTAAATTTTATATAACTCTAGTTCTTGAAACTGTAATGGGCCTAACAAAAAATATATAAACATAACCAGCCAAGCTTTTATAAAATTATTGTTGTCAACCATAGTTGACGCCAGACTTTAAGTCACTGCCCTAACCTGCAGGCCAGTTTTCCCTTTTGGACCAAGCTTAATGAATTAGACATACCCACAAACCAATTTTTTTCTTCGTTTTCTGATCAATTAGGAAATAATTTATTTGCATTGAATTGCAAGTAAAAATTCAATCATGTATTTAACAAAAGAATTGTTTTGTCTCAACTATGGTCCTTCCCTTACTTCGTTGTATGTAATCCATTAGTTGTATGTTGATCTTTATCCATGAAATAACACATCAAAAAATGTTAATTATAAAACTCACCAACTCACTAGAAGAGGCTGGTTTAAATAACAACAACTGTTGAAATTTATGTGTAAACAAAATGCTGCCAGTTGTACGGAAAAAATCACAAACATGAAAACCACAACAACGGCATATTTAAGGGCTATTTCATTAGACCTACAACTAACAACCAAGTTGATAAAATAAACTGTATACATGATAATATGTAACAAGCCATAAAGTGATTGCATGTTGATGAGGTAGGTCCAGTGAGTCTAGACCACATGTCAACTATAGTTGACACCGGTCTGTGGTGAAGGGATTTTTTAACATTTCAATTTTGCTTTCGGTAAAAACTTTTAAAACTTTTTAAACTTCGGAAAGTGTTAAATAAAACGACACTGATATAGCCTACATATTATTTAGTGCTTTTACCCACTAGAAATTAAAATCCAAAAGATATGGGCTATTCAGAGAAACCCTTAGCTTAACTGTAGAGATTTTATGAAAATAATTTTTTTTTTATTAATCTTTATGATTAATGGCGGAGTGTTTGTTATTCGTTTGCCTATTTTGAATTTAATATTGTAAGAAGGATGACTCGAATAAGCTTGAGCCCGATGTTTTTTTTAAACATCAGTCCACTAGACCCATAAAATTATTACCATTTATAATAACTTTGTATTTGTGATACCCTAACTTAATTGTTTTAAAAAACAAAATTCTTATGATTACATAATTATTATAGTTAAATATCTGTTATAAGTTAACACAAACTGGCATATATAAGATAATTTATTATTTTGTTTAATTAAGTAAGTTTTACAAGTAAGACTACATTCATTTTATTATGATAAAGTTAGGCTGACATACCGTAGGTGGCTGCTCATCAAGAACTATTGGGGGTTCCACAAATGCAACATGTCCCTTTCCATGCTCTACTTCATCAGATGATAATTCGTTTGATTCAACATTCGATTTTTCTTTCACTTTTTTGCCAGCTTTTTTCAACTTCTTATCTTTAGCCTTTTCTTTTGCAGATCGACCTTGGGCAAGGTATTCTTCTGCTTTCTTTTTCTGCTCAGCTTTCACTTCATCATAGGTTTTCTCTTTCATAGATGACACTGATATAAAGTATAAGACAAGTGCAGATACTACAGCTAATGTCAAACACAGTCCACCTGTCAATAAGTCCATTGTAGCAGAACCTGTAACAAAATTAATTTTGATAAAGTTCAAGGAGTGGTTCATCATCATTTTTGAAATTAGAAATAGTTAAAATGGTAAAAAACTAACTTTTTTCTCAGACTGTTCTCAAGCTTGAAGTATTCCATAATCTGGACATACCAAAGGCTACTTTCACGAACTTAGTCAAGTTAATGAATTCTCTAGCACTTGATCAGAGAATTTCCTGTACTTGCACAAGATTATTTGGCTTGTCAACTATTTTAGAATGTAATAATATTTTTATGACTAGTCCTACCCTACCTAATGGCATTTTGATAAATTTCCAGAACTAGCAATGAGGTAGTGGAATTAAAAACTATTTGGAGCCCATGGCCCCCTTATCCATATTACTGAGCATCTCACTACAGTAGCCTATATATCACATTTTAAGGTAGCCTAGATAGGCCTATGAGGACATGAACGGGCATTTTTATATGTAAAGATGAGGGTGGAATGTGTGCGATGCTTTTTGTAGCTTTGTTAATGACCAAGACCAGCTGTTTGATAAGCTGATCAGGAATCATGATACGTCGTCAGGCTTTATTAAAGGAATGCAAATACGTTTTAAAAGGATGTATGGCAGAAGAAAGAATGTATTGAGTGTGAGCAGGGCCATGCTCAGACCGGTTTTTCAAGACCCTTTAAACATATAGGCCTACTTCAAGGGGAGAGGGGCCCGGCCTATTATCTTTACCGGGGCCTGCCAATGCTGGGTACGGCCCTGAGTGTGAGGTGTTAACGGGCTCATTGTTTAGCAACTAAATACTGATTCCTAGGATCGAACTGCGACCATTTAATTCTCTCTTTACTTTTGCCCTCGAAATAACTCAGTTCACATTTTTCCTTTGTTTGCCATTAACATCAGTAAATCTCAGGGACAGTCTCTAAGTTTAGTTGTGCTGAAGTAGTGCTGAAAGAAACAGTCTTTGGTCATGAAATACCTACTCACGTGGTGTAATTTTTGCAAACTACATAGAAAATCAAATTAAAATATCCAAAAGAATCATTTACATTTACACTGATTAATTAAAAGAGATAGGCTAGCGACTTCAAAAACTGATATATAGCCGGATGGTGCTTTGGCCTCTGGGGACCTCAAAACAAAAAAGTAAATTGGTCCCGGGTCCAGGTCTTACCATGAGTACTAATACCTTATTCCCTATATGGGAAATTCGCCAAAACTATTATTAAATAAAATATTCACATTCAGATCTACCCATAATAGAACCCGTGGAGGAAAACAATTGCAAGCAAGACCATATTCCAGCTTTACAATAGACAATAGACTAGTACAATAGCTTTTACAACATTCAAACCAATAACCAGACAATAACTCAAAGATTTAAAATTTAAACGCCTTAGTTCAACAAATTCAGCGGGATTTGATGTCGTCAAGGAAAAATAGTCACTTATTGCAAAGAAGAATTAATAGAACCCATTCACCACATCATAAGCTAATCAACTGCAACAGTCAATGGTACCCAGTCAATTAAAAATAGCCTAGTAAAAAGCAATCATAAACACAAAAAAGTCAGCAATAACAAGTTCCATCAAACTACCTGTAGTTTGATGGAACTTGGATTAGAACTGTAGTTATTTATTTTAACGGACATCTCCATTTTGGGTCATTCCATATCAAATCAACAAGGCTCTCAACCTGACCATCTTGGATTTTGATGAAATTTTGCATACTTGTAGTCTTTTGAGTCCTGAATCCAAATATGCTTTTTAAAAAAATCTATCTTTTATAGTTTTTATGATATAAATATTTGAAAATGGTAAAAATTGGCGTTTTTTACCGTGCGCGCAAATCTAAAATGTTGTCTAGGATGAGTTCTATTGGTCCTATCAAGTTGTACAATGGCTCATTTTAAAGAGGATTCAAATGCCTTTAATCTGATACCAAACTCAACCTACTTAGGTAAAAATTAATTTTTTTTGAAAATTTCAAAATATGTTTTTGAAAAAAAAATTAAGATAGTGTTTTTTTGAAAAATTTGAAAATTAGATATGTTAAAGAATGTAATCTAGTAAGTACATTATAAAAATTTCAAAATGGGATGATGATGGGATCAGCAGTTATGATAAAAATACTTGACTATGGTTCACTGTTTCCAAGCGTTTTGGCGCATACAGCGTGTACGTACTAACCTAAATGTATCATTAAATAAGAGTCTATTAATTATATGATTAAAATTAAAAATATCTGCCTATATTTGAACTATGTATGTCATATTTTGCTATAATATAAACTAAATCTAGCAAATAAACAACATGATTCAAGTTAACAGAGTTTCCGTCAACCTTTGAACATGGGGGCTACTTTGAACAAACTTTCCACTTTTCATATTTTTTATTTTTTTTCATATTAATTTTATCTTTAAATGATAATGTTTATTATAATTTTCTATTCCCAGATAAATACTCTACTTAAAAAAAAATATTTAATAGTGCATACTATGGTTCTACAAAAAATTAAAAATACTTATTTTTCACTGAAATTTTTTAGTAAAAAAAAGTCGTCCAAACTTCCATGTCTACAGCAGCAAACCCAGTAAGTTTATGATTTATGACTTAAAACCATAATTGAATAGCCCATTTATCTGGGATTAAGAAAATACCTGCTTTGATTACTTTATAAGCAGTAATAACTTTAAAAAAAAGAAAGAAAAAATTACCCAATTTGCTGACCCTTACTTATGGCGTCGTGAACCTTAGTTCTGGAGCAAAATTTCCCGGACATGAGAAAAAAAAATACTTGGGTTTTAAGTGTTATTTTTTAAAATGATTTTTCTAATGAAAACAGATGTTTTGAGCTTTAGTTATTATTAGCAGCCATAATCCAATTCCTTTATTTGACTGCTATGATATTTAAAAAATACCCTTGCAAAGTTAAATACCCCCGTCGCAGCAAACCTGCATACTAAGCGAATTTCCATCTACCCGGCTTGATTTCTACTAAAATATTCCCTATAAATTTTCAGATTTATTTCCTATTTAAATAACATTAATTTTAGTGAGTAGTTAGGTTTGCTGCTACGGGAAAGATGTTGAGGTGTGTTTTTTCAATTGAAATATTGATAGCTTAGTATGAAATAAACCAAATTGCCAAATTTGATTAAAATATATCCATAAACAAGCAAACTAGAACAGTTTATTTATTCTCCATAAAAATAACATGGGAATTTTAAATTTACAATTTTTTTAATTTTCTCCGTAGTCAATGAACATTCAAAAACACTTCAATATACTAAATTATTTGTTTTTTTAAGCTCTTCAAAATGGTCTAGAGAGAAATTTAGAAATTTAATGTTTTTAGGGTCAAAAATGAGAAAAACCCATTTTTACCCCATAAAACCCCCCATAAACCCCTGATCCCATGGTCCGATTACGCTGGTTCGCGAACTCGTTCGAATAAATGTAGGTTTACACGTTTGTACCAAATTTCATCAAAATCGGATCAATTTTGCTCGAGTTATCGCGCTAACGGACACATATATATATATATATATATATATATATAAATATATATATATATATATATAGGCCCTATATGAATTTGAACGGATGGTGTTTTTGGCCTCTGGGGACCTCAAAATGAAAAAGTAAATCGGTCCTGGGTCTAGGTCTTACCATGAGACCTACGGTAATAGCTTATTCCCTATATGGGAAATTCGCTAAATATAACCGGACGGACATTTTGAAAATTCTCCGTAACTTTTTTTAATTTTTGACATATCAAAATAGAAGTTACAGAAATGTGGTATGTGGTTTGTGGTATTTAAATCCACAAATCAGTTTTCACAAAAAAATTTTAATTGTTAAAGTAAGAATACATTATTTATACTTATGAGCAGACATTTCCCCAAAACTAAATAATTAGGCCATCATGGAATATTATCTATGTATCAATAATAGATTGATCACAGTATATTGTGTGACAAAATTATCAATGCTTGTTTGTCTCTCTCTCTTGTCACGAGAGGAAAGACAGACAAATATGGACCTATGGGTTTTGGCTCAGGTTCCTCAGTATTTTCCAGTTGTGTTGCAACGATTTACTGTAATTAATCTTTAAGTCTGCCTTTTCACTAGGCTGGAGACACTAGTCAGCCACTAGATCTGTGCAAAATCACATTGTGAAGCACTCTACGTTTACACTATCAGGTCGCAGCGACCCGGTCTTGAGAAGTTGTAATTTGTTTGACAGGTACACAGGTCTAACTTATGTTTGTCAGTCTTTCCTCTTGTCTCAAGACCGAGTCGCTACAGCTGAGATGGGTCGCTGCAACCTGATAGTGTAAACGTAAAGTGCTTCACAATGTGATTTTGCACAGATCTAGTGGCTGACTAGAGTCTCCAGCCTAGTGAAAAGGCAGACTTAAAGATTGATTACAGTAAATTGTTGCAACACAACTAACTGGAAAAGACTGAGGAACCTGAACCAAAACCCATTGGTCCATGTTTGTTCAAAGGTTGACGGAAACTCTGTTAACTCTTGAATAATGTTGTTTACTTGCTAGATTTAGTTTATATAGGCTATAGCAAAATATGACATACATAATTCAAATATAGGCAGATATTTTTAATTTTAATCATATAATTAATAGACTCTTATTTAATGATACATTTAGGTTAGAACTTACACGCTGTATGCGCCAAAATGCTTGGAAACAGTGAACCATAGTCAAGTATTTTTATCATAACTGCTGATCCCATTATCATCCCATTTTGAAATTTTTATAATGTACTTACTAGATTACATTCTTTAACATATCTAATTTTCAAATTTTTCAAAAAACACTATCTTAAATTTTTTTTCAAAAACATATTTTGAAATTTTCAAAAAAAATTAATTTTTACCAAAGTAGGTTGAGTTTGGTATCAGATTAAAGGCATTTGAATCCTCTTTAAAATGAGCCATTGTACAACTTGATAGGACCAATAGAACTCATCCTAGACAACATTTTAGATTTGCGCGCACGGTAAAAAACGCCAATTTTTACCATTTTCAAATATTTATATCATAAAAATTATAAAAGATAGATTTTTTTTAAAAGCATATTTGGATTCAGGACTCAAAATACTACAAGTATGCAAAATTTCATCAAAATCGAAGATGGTCAGGTTGAAAATAATTTTTTATTGGTTGATTTCATATGGAATGACCCTTTTACAACCATACAAATCAAATAATTATTTATAGTATAAATAATTATTTCTTTCTTTACAGTATACAGTTTAAATGTAGACTGTAAAGCATGGTGGGCGTAAGATTGATCCTAGAGGCAAGGCTCTGGTGGTTGTTCATAGATTTTGTGTTGATTAAAGTTGTTGTTAATCTGACGTTCCAATTCTACATAATTCCATATCCCTACTATCTCCAAGTTACTGTACTGGAACATGCAATCTATAATCAACTCTTAGAACATAAAAAAACACAAATCCAACACAGATTTAGAAAGGGGTGTACCACACCAACAGCTACCTCACAAATATGTGAGGATATAACCAACCTTTGGAAGGGAAAAGAGATTGCATCAGGTATCTTTCTGGACTTACAAAAAGCATTCAACACAATGAACTGGAACACTTTGCTACAAAAATTTCAACAATACAAAATCAATGACAGAACACGTGATTTGACAAAAAGTGATCTCAGTAACAGATAACAATTATGTAGAATTGGAACGTCAGATTAACAACAACTTTAATCAACACAAAATCTATGAACAACCACCAGAGCCTTGCCTCAAGGATCAATCTTACGCCCACCATGCTTTACAGTCTACATTTAAACTGTATACTGTAAAGAAAGAAATAATTATTTATACTATAAATAATTATTTGATTTGTATGGTTGTAAAATGGAGATGTCCATTAAAATAAATAACCTCTTGGAAAAAGTTAGATAACAACTCAGATGGGCCTACATACTCTTTGCAGATGACACGACAATCATACTTTCCACTGACCAATCAGCAGGTAATACCAATATCATCAACAAAACACTTAACTTAATAAGGCCACGGCATACTGCAACATGTAATAAACCTGAATAGCCTATATAAAAACAAGACCATCCATATAAAATTCTCACCCGACAACAACAACAGATCGGAAGAAGACTCGACTAACTTGAACATCCTACAGTAAAAAAAAATTGTTTTTGTATAATTGTCTAAAAAACCTAAGTTACACTTTAAGATCGTGTAGGGAACTTAAATTGCTTAGGCCTATGCCAAAAACGTTCTGCAAAGCATGTGATAAAAAGGATTTGCAAATGAAGATGTAGTGTAATAGCCTACCACTCGCTTTTTCACTCCAACATAAATATGGTATCACCGCTTAGGAATCACCAAGCTCTTGAAACATGAAAAGGAACATAATCACCCAAAAGAATACTATCCGATCAATCTTAAGAATCCACCACCAATAACACTGCAAACCCCTCTTCAAATAGGTCTAACTGAAAAACTAACAATAAGTAACTTAACCTTCCCGACACAAAAGGGCTACTCTTAGCCAAAAATCATCCCTCTCCTCACCATCAGACATTACCCAAACACACTTACATTACCCAAAACAAACACATCATTGACACAAAGCAGCACTGACAAAAAACAAGCAATAACTTGCACCCGTCAATGCAGGCACTAACTTAACTTACTTTTATAAACTACTAAACTTACCAGAACATAAAATCAACAACCACAATTAAGTTTTACAAAAAAACTCAAAGAATACACTTAATAGGCAGGCCATACTTAGTACAAAACCACATATGTCATTGTGCAGCACACGTACCAACACCTCACATGGGCAACATAGGCCTATGCTCTTTAGGAAAGAAATCTGACGACTCCCCGACCCATAGATTGTGGTGAGGACTAGGGCCTACATGGTAAATGGTATTTTTATTGTTCTATAATCTGATAAAGCCCAACAGGCTACCAATGTTTCGCCCATTTGTCTTTTATCATCACCTACCGTGCAAAATGAATGTTCATGCAAAAATACAGTCCTCTGCTGTAAACTGTTAGGCCTAGATCTAGTAAGTATTAAGAGGTAAAACTAATAAATTAAGCATTAAATTCCTATGCGTGGCCTAACATATAAATAAAATCAATGAGTTAAGTTAAGTATACCCTAGTAAATGCTGCTAATTTGATATAAGAATAAATAAGTCAACATTTATTTTGCTGGGCCCTAATATGTAAAAACTGTTGTTGAATAAAAGTAATAGTTCGTTCAGTAAACCAGTAGGATCTTGCCTATATGACTTGGCTTATTGGAAAATGTTCAATCCAAATAAACAATTAAGCAAACCTAGCCTACAGAAAGCAAACAATTCAATCTTATTTTGTTAAATTCTGTAATAGACTTATTTCTAAAAAGCAAAACTATAAGCATATCAACTTACCTAAACATACACTCTCAAAAAACTGTTACCAATCATAAATAATTGATTAATAAAGAGAAGCCGAATTCCTAAATTATTATACCAGCAAAACGTAGACACCGCCACGTATACGATGGATGGAATGGTCAATGAATGGTGTTGGTTGGTTTTGGTTTTGACGGCTTCGGCTCGCTTGACTTTGACTTTAGTGACGACGACGACCGGACGACGACGACGACGACGACGATGGGCGAACGAACAACCTCGAACCTCAGAATCAGAACTGAACTGACTGGAGTGAAGTGAACTAAAGTCAAATCTGGAACGAAACGAAACGAAAGAGAAGCCTACAGACACGGTCACCTTTTTACAGGCCGCGGCTGGTAGAACTGGCAATGTCGCAAATAGTGTTGTTTAGTGACAGACGTCCCATAAGATAACATGGCAGACAGGTGACATCAGCTCATTAATTCGCACTTTATTGATTTAAATTTATTAACATAAATTTATTAAACTATTGAAAATAAAACATACAGAATTGAAAATCGGAACAATATGAATTAAAAATCTATATCTGTACATTTTAAGCGGAGTCAATATTGTAATAGTCCAGTAACCAATCTTTCGTAAATACACACAAATACCATTTGCTGCTTCCAAACAAAAAAGCTGTTACAACACCACTTAATTGCGACGTTGCCACTTCGAAGACCACGGCGGAGTTAAAGTTGGCCGTGCCGTGCTACAGAACAGGCAGTACGGAATTTATTATGCAGGGATTTAGGGAAGAAAAAAATACCCCCACCACAGCAAACCTGCCAACTAAGCGAATTTCTATTTCACTGAATTGATTTTCGCAATTAACTATTTAAATAAAAATAGCTCTAATTATTTAGCCAGATTAAGGTAGGTGTATGGCTCTGGGCAGTGATGTTAATTTGGGTAGGTGTACCCTCTGTTCATAATTTAACTATTAATCACCTTTAAAATTCGAAAATACACAAAACAAAGCCCGAAGTCAATTTCGAAACATCGCAAGTTGGCCTTTTTAATGCTACAATCTAATAGATAAAAATATAACAATAGTAAATAATACAGCCCGCGGGTACAGCCAGACGGGCGTGTTGAGCCGCCGGCGCCGTCTACCAGGCGTGTTGAGCCACCGGCACCTCCCGCATTGGCATGTAGAGCCCACGGGTTACCCATGATGGGCGTGTTAAGCCACGGGTACCGCTGGACTGGCGTGTTGAGCCCCCGGCACCGTCGGACGGGCATGTTGAGACCCCAGCACCTCCCGAATGGGCGTGTTGAGACCGCGGGTGCCTGATGGGCCTGTTGAGCCACGGGAGACGGGCGTGTTGAGCCGCCAGTACCGTTGGACGGGCGTGTTGAGCCCCGACATCCCCGCATGGGCGTGTAGAGCCACGGGTACCACTGGATGGGCGTGATGAGCCCCCGGTACCTCCCGCATGGGCGTGTCACGTGTTCAGCCACGGGAACCGCTGGACGGGCGTTTTGAGCCACCAGTACCGCTGGATCGGCGTGTTGAGCCCGCGGGTTACCTGGTGGGCGTGTTGTGCCACGGAAACAGCTGGACGGGCGTATTGAGCCGCCAGTACCGTTGGACGGGCGTGTTGAGCCCCGGCATCCCCGCATGGGCGTGTTTGAGCCACGGGTACCACTGGATGGGCGTGTTGAGCCCCCGGTACCTCCCGCATGGGGGTGTTCAGCCACGGGAACCGCTGGACGGGTGTGTTGAGCCACCAGTACCGTTGGGCCGGCGTGTTGAGCCCCCGGCACCGTCGGACGGGCATGTTGAGACCCCGGCACCTCCCGAATGGGCGTGTTGAGACCGCGGGTTACCTGATAGGCCTGTTGAGCCACGGGAGACGGGCGTGTTGAGCCGCCAGTACCGTTGGACAGGCGTATTGAGCCCCGGCATCCCCGCATGGGCGTGTTGAGCCACGGGTACCACTGGATGGGCGTGTTGAGCCCCCGGTACCTCCCGCATGGGCGTGTTCAGCCACGGGAACCGCTGGACGGGTGTGTTGAGCCACCAGTACCGTTGGGCCGGCGTGTTGAGCCACCAGTACCGTTGGACCGGCGTGTTGAGCCACCAGTACCATTGGACCGGCGTGTTGAGCCAGCGGGTTATGGTGGGCGTGTTGAGCCACGGGTACAACTGGATGGGCGTGATGAGCTTCCGGCACCGTCGGACGGGCGTGTTGAGCCCCCGGTACCTCCCGCATGGGCGTGTTGAGCCCGCGTGTTAAGCCCGCGGGTTACCTGATGGACGAGTTGAGCCACGGGAACCGCTGGACGGGTGTGTTGAGTCACCAGTACCGTTGGACGGGCGTGTTGAGCCCCCATCATCCTCGCATGGGAGTGCTCAGCCCGCGGAACACCTGATGGGTGTGTTGAGCCACGGGTATCAACGGATGGGCGTGTTGAGCCACCAGCACCGTCCGACACCCCCGAAAACCTAGCATGGGTGTGTTGAGCCCGCGGGTATCTCCTTAGTCGTTGCTGGACTTTATAGTTCTCCGCCACCAGAGTTTACGTTAGACTGCAGACCGAGTAGACTGCCTAGAGAGTGCTAACTTCTGAGCAAATGACGCCAGAACCGTCTCCAGTGGAGAGCAGCAGCTAGGGTACCGAGGATTCCGGGGTGAAGGTACCAAGGATCTAGACTGCGGGATCACGTAGATATCTTATAGGAGTGTCGTAGACCACCGGGCAAGTAAGGACGTACGCAAGGACTGATCCAACCTCTGCCAAACCCTGAACACGAGCCCGGAGACACTGCCTGGTAGGAGGACTACGGACCCATAGGATCAAGACTGTATATACCCTACGATTGAACATAGAAACATATGTGTTAGGATAAGGATATCATGGAATAAAATGGAAGTGTAAGATGCTTTGCTGGATACTTCCATGCACGGGCAGTCTGGGCGGGCAAATGCAAGGCTGCCAACCTCATTAAACAAAATAAACGGTATCAGCAATCTGACACATACTTTCTCCCATTAGCTTGTCAACAACCTTTTTCATGGGTAGCGATGAGAGTAACTATGATATTTAACAGGTAAAATCACAAAAATCTCATTAACTTTTGAACAGTAATTTTAACAGGAATGTAGGGATGCACTGTTTTGTTTAGAATTATAAGGACCATAACAGAAGAATTTCAATCGGAATCGGTTTTTTTTTTTCAAAATATCAATTTTTCCTTTTTAAATGGGTTTGGGAAAATAACATAAGTTTCAATAACTTTTGAACCATAATTTTTACAGCAATAGGGGGTTGCACTTAAGGGGTGATCTGGTACAGTACAAGGCAAGGTGAACTGTACTGATAAATGTTTGCAGCAGAGTGGCCAGGATCCAGGATCCGAACCCACAACATCGCTGCCTTGGGCCCGACACTACCACTGAGCCACAGACTCACCAAATTATATGTACCATTTATAAAGAGGGGGACACTAATAAAGCATTTTACCTTAATAAATCAATAATTTTCAATGAATACTACTGTTATTGGTCCCCAAATAATATAGACAAAAATAATAAAAAATATGAAGCTCTTAAATACTTCCCAAGATATGAATCAAACAAATTTGAGCTCTTACTTGGAAAGTGAGTGAATTTTGAGCTAATTTACAATACAGTGAACGTTTATACCCGGGACCGATTAAAATGTTTCGTTTTGAGGTCCCCAAAGGCAAAATCGCTATCCTTTTCAATACATATTAATATTAATTAATAACTAGTGGTCGAAAACTCGACCAAAAACATGTAATCTTGTATTGACTATTATGGATAATGAAGTAGACATCCCATCTATATGGACCAGCTGTCGCAATTTTTTTTAAACACATAGTTGTGTGAGCCAGTCACCGAATGTGTGTCTTAAATTCTATTTTCTACCTTATTTTTTAATTGTTGCTGACAAAGTTGATGGGTCATAACAGTTGCTATAGCTCATAATAAGTCATTCCATAACTTTTACTTGGTAAAAACATTGTGTATCCGACAGAAATTAGTCATTTTAGATCAGCGCAATCTGTTGGTGGCTCACATAAACTACGACGAATTTAATTTTTAAAAAAACTGGTGACAACTTTAACATGGGGATGGAATGTAAAGGTACAGGCTTCTCTATTTTCACCCCACGCTGTAAATAAAACATGTGATTGTAATTTCTTCCATTTGTTTTGATTTTCTGTTTATATTTTGTTGTTATTTTGTTGCCAACATGGCAACCCATAAAGCCCATGTTAATTTTTTTTTAACTTCAAATCCATTTTTTGTGCTTATATTTGAGCCTATTTTAATTTTTAAAGGGATTCTGCACTTCCACAGGAAAATATCTTTCTAACGGTATGCATAGATTTTCCCTACGATGCACACGAGCTGAGAAAAAAGGTTTTAAAGAAACGTGCTTGCCTATTAATATATAGACGAGAGGTCGTCCAGTGGTCGAAACTCGACCAAAAATATGTAATGTACTCACTTATCTATTTTCACCCCACACTGTAAATAAAACATGTGATTGGAGTTTCCTCCATTTGTTTTGATTTTCTGTTTATATTTCGTTGTTATTTCGTAACCAGCATAGCAACGCATAAGATCCATGTTAATTTTTTCAAATTTTTAAACTCATTTTTTGTGCTTATCTTTGAGCCTATTTAAATTTATAAAGGGATTCTGCACACCTACAGGAAAATAGCTTTCCAACGGTATGCGTAGATTTTCCCTACGATGCACACGAGCTGAGAAAAAAGGTTTTAAAGAAACATGCTTGCCTATTAATATATAGACTAGAGGTCGTCCTGTGGTCGAAACTCGACCAATAATAATTAATGTACAGACTTCTCTATTTTATCCCCACACTGTAAATAAAACATGTGAATGGAATTTCTTCCCTTTGTTTTGATTTTCTGTTTACATTTTGTTGTTATTTCGTCACCATCATGGCAACCCATATGGTCCATGTTAATTTTTTGAAGTTTTCAAATTCGTTTTCTGTGCTTATTTGTTAGCCTATTTTAATTTATAAAGGCATTCTGCACATCTACAGAAAAATATCTTTCCAACAGTATGCGTAGATTTTCCCTGCGATGCACACGAGCTGAGAAAAAAGGTTTTAAAGAAACATGCTTGCCTATTAATATATAGATAGATAGATAGATAGATATGATATTATTAATTGTATTGAATATATGTATTGTTTTTGTAAGCTCTACAAAATGGCTTGAAAATTAAATAGCATTTTATTGTTTGAGGGTTAACAAATGGAACTTTGTATATTGAAGCGTTGTTCAAAAGATTCAAAAGATTCAAAAACTTTATTCGCCATTCAATACAAAATGTACAATAGGCTTTGTCTCATACATTAAATACTTAACTGCTAAAATAAATAAATAAAATCATTCCAAAAAATCTGTTGTATGCCCAAAGGTTACGGAGATAATTTAAAATATTGTAAATTTAAAATTCCCATGTTATTCTTATGGAGAATAAATAAACTGTTTTAAATTGCTTGTTAATGGATATATTTAAACCAAATTTGGAAATTTTGTTTATTTTATGTACTAAGCTATCGACATTGCAATAAAAAAAAACATCTTAATGTCTTCCCTGTAGCAGGAAACCTAGGTACTCACTGAAATTAATGTAAATTAAATAGGAAATAAATCTGACAATTATTAGGGAATATTTTAGTAGAAATCCAGCCAGGAAAATGGAAATTCACTTAGTCTGCAGGTTTGCTGTGGCGAGGGTATTCTGTTTATATTTTGTTGTTATTCCGTCACCAGCATGGCAACCCATAAGGCCAATGTTATTTTTTAAAATTTCAAATACTTGTTTTCTGTTTGTTTTTTTAGCCTATTTTAATTTATAAAGGGATTCTGCACATTTACAGGAGAAAAACCTTTCTAACAGTACGTATAGATTTTCTCAGTGATGCACACAAGCTGAGAAAAAAGGTTGTAAAGAAACATGCTTGCCTATTAATACAGTAGATAGATGGATAGAAAGATATAGATAATTGATCAAACTTGGAAAATTTATTTATTTTATACTAAAGCTATTAATATTTTACTAAAGACACACATTATTACCCGCTTGTAGCACTTCTAGGTACACATTGAACCGGCCAATAAAATCCGGCTAAAGGACATGGCTTTTTACTCAATTGATGAGTTTTTTGCCGATTCACTCAACTCCCTGCTCGCCATTTATATCTCTAAAGTTATTTAAATATCTTTATCGAATTTGGCAAACAATTTAAAATCATGGTCATTTTTTTAGTTAAATTGAAAAAAAAAGATCTAATAAAAAGCTAAATATCCATATCAATCGCTACCGGCCAGGCAAAACGTGTGCAGGCAACGTGACGCTGTATTAATAAATGTGTACTACTGTACAGTGCAGTTATTTATGTGTGTTAAATGTGTCTATGTCTATGTGTGTCTTGAAGCCAAATGTACAAGCATATTACAAGGTAACAAAATACTTGATATTGTTTTGATTATACACTGTAGATACTTAGAGAAGGTAGATGGATAGAAGATAGATTAGCACTAGAAATATTGCCAAGTTCTTTCAAACAGCTTTTAATTTATCTGCTAAAGAACTTGAATGTATACCATTCAAACAAATATTTTCGAAATTCAGTCGGTAATAAACTGCTAGGCATTGTGTTCAAATCCTTCTCCACTGTGTTATTCATAAAGGAACTTTAAAATGAATGTATTACATACATTACATGTCAAACTGCCCTTAAAATTTCAATTAGGCCTACTGTGCCTATTCCTCAAAGCCGGTCATTACATTTTGAAATTCGTCGATTTCCCGGGGAGCATGGCTGTTCCTTTCAGCGGAAATCTCCCCAAACATTTCATGGAAGATTACATATTTGACTTATGGAACACTTTGTTTTAGAAAATTGTAATCCTCAAATCTCAGGAAAATTTTTTTTGTATCCATAACTTACTTTTGAATACAATATTTGTATGTTTAGTTTAGAAATTTATCTGGTAATATAAATTTTCAAGGGAGCTCGTCCATTCTTATGCCATTTCCGCTTGAAGGCGCGCAGTCGCTAGATGCATAGTAGCATTGACGATAATTTCAGTTTGAGTCAAGTAAAATTCTGATTTTAGTTTAGTTCAAAATACCTTGAAAAAGCCTATATGCAGTTTTAGGTATGTTATTAATAATAATGAAATGTGAAAATAAATCGAAAAATGTAGTCATTACCTTGAATTATTCCAATGTAACAGAATTATAGTTTGTTGAACTTAATTTAGTATTTACTTTGACTAATCGAAATCTGATTTTGTCTTCGGGCTAAGCCTAATGCCGTCGGATGTGATGTAAATCGCAGTTTTGGAATTAATTTTAGGATGTTAACTTGAGTTGTTTTTATATTTTGTCGATCCATTTAGTTTTTCCATCATTACTCTACTCTGGTTTCGTCTAGGTAAGGATTGAGAATCCCCTGATCAATAAATGTTCTTAGCTAAAGTTCGATGATGCAATGCTCAGCTCGGTGACAGGGGTGGGCTAGCTCTATTGTTTCGTCACGTGGATTTCTAAGCAGTATGTTTTATACTTTGTTGGAATAGTATTATTTCTCCTATTGTCTATGACTTTGTAAGAATAGAACTGAGGCAGTTAAAATTTTAAAGTCGTGTTGTATTTTGTTTCAGAACAAGCATATTGAAGCTCTGGTCTGCTTGGCGCCTTGGATTAGCCTAGGCCTACTAGGATGATCTAAACGAGACATCATTCAGTGGATACCTTCGGAAGTGATAGTGTCGAGTGCGGTTAGTTGTGTGCATCACAAGTGGTTAAGTGTTCTACTAAATAGGCCTAACTTCAAGAGGAATAGCCTAACTTAGTTATTTGTGGGAATTAAAATGGCTGAGATAAGTTAAGCAATTTAACTTACCTAAAAGAGTCAGTGGAAACCCCAAGAAGATGGCAATTGATAATGAGTTTGGTTCCAATTCATGGTAAATGTAGATATAGATAGATAACCTAGTCCTAGCAGGTCAAGATTAAAATATTCGATTGGCAAACCGTTACCGCAATGACTCCGTTGAGTAAAATAAGAGTAACCTGCCGCTTTGAGTTAGCCTAAAAAAATGGTCAAATTCTGCCTGACTGATGTTTATTAGTCTCTTTGGGTTAAACGTATCACTAACCTAAGTTAGCCCTATCTTAGGCGTTTGAGGATTTTTCATGGACTTAAAATTTACATATAAGTTAAGCATTCTTGCGGACATTAAGTTAAATTTCTACATTAACTTATAGGCCTAACTTGTATTACTTAATTCAATAAGTACATGAATGAATGGGCCTGAGATATGCCTCGGTGAGGCAGCCCATTGCGGTTGTCATGGCACCAGCTCTTACAGAAACAAGCCAACCCCAAGGGTTTTCTCTGAAATCTGATTCTTTGTCATCTCCTGTTTCATTGGTTCCATTTGATGAAAATACTGAAGGTATTAACACCAACATCAAATGTTTGAAGCGTTTGACTTTTTTAGACTCAAATACTACTGTGGTAATGAACGGGGATTCTGAAAACATTTCAGATCTTAAGTCAGTGTCCGATTCAATTCCTCAAGATCAACTATGTAAAGGTAAATCAAGACCTAGGCCTAGTTTGACTAAGCCTTCTGAAGAATGTGATCAGGCTGTTGTTAAAGAATCTGATTACTCGTTGCTTCAGATTGGTGGGTTTATGATGAATAGTAGTTGTTCCAATGAAGCTGATGTAGATAAAATGGGTTTGCAAAAGTCAGGTTCCAACATTGAACCGTGTAATTATTTAAAAATGGACTTGTTCAAGACAATAGGAAATAATACTTCACCACAGGGTGATTTGGGAGCTGCAGGTGACATAGGTCATAATGTAGATGAGATAATGCAGGTTATAAAAAATATGGAATCCAAAACTAGTGATATTGAAGAAACCCTAGAACCCAGTCTGCATATAAATGATGGACCCGATATTGCTGGAGGTCTATCTAATTTTGAAAGAGAATTTTTTAATGATGTTGATATGATTAACATGTGTGAAGAAGAAAACCTTGGTGAGAATGGATTGCCTGCTGTCAATAAAGACACAACAATAAAAGTTAAGGGGAAGGAAACCGTGGATAGACAATTTACAATTCACAGAAAATGTGATTGGATTAAAAGGAGGCTTTACAAGCTACAAATGAGAGCAATGGGTAAACATGTAAGCGAGGAAATTACTTCAACGCTACACCATTTAAATGACGTGTTGAATGCCGATAAGACATCAAACTTATACTCCGCTTTGACATCAGGAAAGGCAGATAAGGAAAAAGGAATTGAAATTAACAATTTTAATTTGTCATCTTTGACCAGGAGATTGGAACATTCCTCCCAACAGCAGACCCTTGCAGCATCACAAAATCATGTCCCATCTAAATATTTTGGATCAGGTCATTCTGATAACTCGCCAGTCAATATTATGAGCAGACAAAGCCAACCACTCTCTGGATCAGTTTTGCCAAAGCTTGACAGTGAGGTGTATGAAGAGATGAAGAATAAAGCTGGAGAGCTCTGTTACCAACTGAAAGTCACTGAAATTAGCATGGATTCCGATGTCACTGCAAGCAGTTCTGGAGGGGAAAGTTGTGATGAAATGCAGTGCTTCAGTAATCTTCAGCAACAGAGCTTGTCAATGTAAGTTATATTAATTTATTAAATTGTAGGCCTAAAGTAGATGCATGAAATTTTCCTTTTTTTAAACTAGCCTAACTTTTCAAGCCTAACTTAGGGTGTACAGGGGTAATTGGGATCTCGGGGTAATTGGGATCAGGGGATTTAAAAATAAAATTTTGTAGAAAAAAAAATTTAAACCAATTGCGATTTTAGAAAGCTTAAAACTTTCTCTTTCTATATATATAATTGTTTGAAACGTAAAAAAAATTAGCCTATCAGTAATATTTTTTATGAATTTTTGAAATTTGGCCTGTAAATCAACTTTTTTATCGAATTGATCCGTAATTTTTCTTTTTGTTTTAACCCTTTGAGTGCCAACGTCCGGGGAACCGGACGTTTTTAAAACGAGCCAAAAGTGCCGACGTCCGGCCGACCGGACGTTTTTAGAACAAGCCAAAAGTGCCAACGTCCGGCTGACCGGACGTTTCGTAATGATCGAACAGTTGTCATAACAACCGAATGGATACCTACTCGGATTCTTTTAACCCATATATTAACATTGAGTCGAAAGTTACTAGATGCGATACATCGATTTTCGTTGGTCGAAATAGGCCTATTGAAAATTCGATTTTTACGAAATTTTAACCTAAAAATCGCCAGATCGCGCTCGGCATTTTTTGAGCGTTACTTTTATTTCGCGCCTGGCACTCTAAGGGCTAGATTACTACCAGTTTTTTTAAAAGTTTAATGAGAAATGGAGTTTTTATGAACTTTTTACAGAGAATCTAAATTTGGAAACCAAATTGCTCTAGGACTTAAGAAAAAACGTTTAGCTGTGATCCCTTTTACCCCGGATGAATATTGCATTATGGGGTAATTGGGATCACGGGTGTTGGGGCAGTTGGAATCACCATGATTCAACGCCTAAATCAATGCCCAGGGTGTCTACCAACCGGGAAATCCGGGAAAACCGGGAATTGTACTTAATTTTTTGGCCATGAAATGTACGGGAATTGTCCTTAAATGCCAGACTATGTCCTTAAATTTTTAATGGGCCATAATTTTATCGATCGCTAGTTGGTTAGGAGCACATAAAAGGTTTATCAGATGTTTGTTTACATTTTCATAATTTATTACTAGGGTAATAAAAACCCCAATAAAAAACAAATATGCAATAAAAACCCCATTAGCATTCTCAAACCCATTAATATTTTATCACGACAATCAAGTGTCAAATCAAGTACTTCCAAGAACTGTTGACTCAGTAGTAGTTTAGCTCATAAAAGTTGTATCACTTTTATTCCCTTACAACATTTATTTATTACTAGGGTAATCATTATTAGATCCCAAACATATTTTATCATGGAAATAATAGTTTTATAATGGCTGTTAAATTTCACTTCTTACTTGTTCTTCAATTTGCCGCTGGCCATTGCCTAGTGCCATAAAACTGTTTATGGTTTCATATAAAACATGTAAGTAATCTTAAACATAACTAAGTTAAACCCTTTTTTATGGATATTTTATCTTTCAATTGACAAAACCAAAAGCATCGTTGTTTGCATTAAATTTTTATCACTACGTAGGCCTATTTGGTTTCAAATGACGTCATAGCATTTTCTGTATCTTTGTACATTGTTGGCAGTTAGGTTTCAATTTTGTTATTTCCCATATTTATTTATTGAGTTGTATGCTTTAAGCAATATAAATCTTATGAACTAGAATGATGATAGTGACTTTGCTGATATTATAACCTCATTGTTTGTTACTCAGTTAATATAGGCCCTCCTAAATAGTTAGGTCTAGGCCTGGGTATTTTGATTCTTTGAAAGTGCTGTAAAATATACTAAGAAAATGTAATTGAGCCTAAGATAAAGTAATGATTGCTATGTGTCGATATTAACTTAGATGAAAAGACAATAATCTTACTCTGTGCTTACTGGTAGCCGCTTACCATACCGATTTTGTACCTAGAACCGAGTTACTGTACAATATATTCATTATGCATTAAAGATTTTTTTTTCAAAAGTAGTTGAGAACCTAACGTTGTGCCAGGGCGAATAATGCCAAATTAATCCGCCTGGATCGGATAAGCTATGTTATGATGTTTCTGTGACCGATGGAGATATTTAGGATTTTGTCGCTATTGCAGGAGACAATGATTGCATTTTCTGTTACACTATAAAAGCTGTACCTAAAGTAGGGCCTATATGTTTGTTTACTTTCAATAATTTTCTATTTTGAAATTTAATTCTTGTCTATTATTATTTACTTTTCTCTCTGGAACAACTACGAAGAACAAGATTAATACAGTTTGACAAATCAGAAATATTATTCTGTAATCACACCGACAAAGGTCCTTAAATGTACGGGAATTGTCCATGAATTTTTTATCCAGAATGTAGTAGACACCCTGATGCCTAAAAATATCAATTAGCCAAAAAAAGACTGAAAAACGTTCATTTTTATGTGGAAACCACTTAAAAGCTAAAGGTTCCTATGTATAAGTGCGAGTAGGCCTATTTTATTTTTATTTTATTTTAGTTAGGTATTTACACTCTCTTAATAAAAAATTCAAATTTAGGAGGTCCCGACAGACCGTACAAAAAAGTTCATAATTCAAAAACTATTTAAGATAAAATAAAAATTTTAATTGTTCCAGAAAGCTTATCAAATGTTGTAAATATCCCAATGAGTAGCCCCATATCTGATTACATTGCATTATATGGGTAGTAGGACTGTGATCCCAATTACCCCAAGTGTGTGGGTCAATTGGAATCAAGGACAGATTTTTTGTTTGTGTTTTTTTTTTGTATGTTAGAATTTATTTTAATAATCAAAAAAAATACTAGGCCTATGAATGAAGAAAGAGCTTATTAATACTTGATTAAAATTTGACAGTTATTGAAGTAGGCTATTCACTCAGATGTTATAGAGGCCTAAAGTTGAATTATATGATTTTCTGATCCCTTTTACCCCTGTACACCCCAAGTTGGACCCTAAGGTTTGATGCATGAGTAGGGTAGGTAGTATTTGAACATACCAAATACCAAACGTGCCAGCTTTCGTCTCAAATAATAAGCATCTGATTTATCAAAACTAACTGAAGAGTAATGCATTTGTTAACATTTCACCGGCCCGTAGACAAATTGATTCATTGATTAGCCTACTAGATTCAGTGAGCCTTGATTGGTCACACTGTCCACAGTTTTGGCGAATTTCTTCAAATTGTTGTCTGTTTCCTTAAGAAAACGGTCGAGTTCCTTAGGCTTTAATACCTGCTAATTCGTTATTAAGAACGGTTAAATAATAGGCCTATTAAGATTCAAACAGGGTTTTTTAATTACTTTAATAAGTTGTCTAGACCACCTACCATAATTAAGATGCAGAAACTAACTTTACTTATTGTAAGAATAATTTTTAAGCCGTTCGGAATAAGGATGCGCGGTAATATACATTTTCTTGGTATATTCATGTACGGTAGCCTAACTATCATTTTGAATTGGCATTTCCCTTGGTAAAGAGCAAGGAGATAGCAAATAAAAAGCTGGCTAACAAAAGGCATTAGGCTATAATAGTTAGTAGGAAAAAGAGGGATTTTCATAAGTTAAGCAAATTATCAAATGATATAAACTTTATCCAATATGTTAAATCTTAAACAAATTTTTAAAAAGGTTGTACAGTGTGCTAAAATAAAGTTTATAATTTAAAAGAATTAGCCTAGTTGTGCAAATAACAAAACTATAGCTGCTTTAAAAGATCTTGTCAAGAACTAAACTGGCAACAGCAAGCAGGATTTTAATTTTAATTTAGCCTAAACGTAATCCAGAAATCAATTCAAATAACTTAATAAAAGGCCCAAAAGAAATTGCAGACCTTTTAAACCCGCAATCAGGCGATTTTGCATAAAAATTAAATAAATTTATCTTAGTTTACTTATTTGGTTCAGAAATAAATAATCTGTCCATTGATGTGCATTTCAACTATTTAGACACCTTTGGGAAAACTTAGAACTCTATGAAAATAACGCATCAGCTGACGACATTGTCATGCCGCAGACTCTTATTACTGGCGTCTTCTGTTGTTTCTTATTTCCCGTTGTGTTTGGTTAGTTTTGGTGTTTTGGCGTCATAAGTTTTTTTATTTTTTATTGACTTGAGTAGGCCTACCTATTTTATAAATTATTTCTTGTAATATGAAGTTAGACCTGAATGTTTTGCTTTTAAGTATTCGTGTAGGTTGTAGGCCTACAACGGTATATTTGTGTTAGGCCTATCATACAGAATAAATGCATAGGGGATAAATAAAAACAAAAATCCGCCATACCTTCTGCAAAGATTCGTGGCGGCTGAGGGATAAGGACGGTCGGGTGGTGTCCCAGCCCCTAAATTAGCCCTCGCTCGGCTGCTCTGGGTTTTGACCATGAGTCGCCCACTAGGCTCAATGCATAGTTGGTAAAACTTTTGTATATCACCATAAAGTGTATTAAATAACGTCATTTTTGTAACCTGCATCTAATAACAAGAACATTGAGCCCAAACACGAAATAATTGCGATGATATTAAGTACTGTATACATTTGGTTTTAAAATAAAAGACAGTTTTTAGAACAAGGTATATATTTAAGGTTGCTGTATTTACAAACTATTTACACTACTGTTCACTAACTAGCCTTTACTATTTACAATTATGTTCTGAGAATGTTATCACGCCGGAGATAATTATGTGAATCCAAATACCCAGACAGCACATGATGTCGATTTGACGTCTAGATCAAGTATACCAAGTGTACGTATATATAAGTTATCTACGTCTATTAGATGTCTGCGTTAAAATGTCAAATGCACATTCAGACGCAGACATTGTATTTATATGTTATGTTGATAGATGTATACACGACATGTGCGACATAACAGCTAATAGACGTTGTAAAGATGTCATTGAAAGTAAAACACAATTATTTGATCATCTTTACAAATCTAGTCACAAATCTGTTCAAAAACTATTTACTTTATGTTCTCC